GCTTCAGGATATGCAACTACACTGTAAACCCCTGAGACTGTGTTAATTAAATAAAATCACCTCTGGGTCAGGAGGCAGAGCCAGCAACTAGTTGGCAGGAAGTAGTAATAGAGACTCAGAGGGAGTCCTGAAGACAGAGAGACAAACAGGAAGTAACACGGAAGGACTTTGAGCATCTTTTTTGGTTGGGGTGGTGGAAGAACACTCTAGCTGAGTCTATAGCTTGATGCTTCTCAGCATCTCTGAGCTAGCAGGTTTTTACCCCAGCACCTGACTCACAAGTCTTTATTGGCAAAAAGAATGAGAGATTTAGTTAAAAACTACATTTGACTGCAGTGGTACGAGGCGGTTCCGGCTGGCTGCAATCCCACAGGGCCTCTGCCTGAACAGCTGGTGACCTGTGGGGCAAGGATTTCAGAGTTGCAGTCAGTAGCTGAAACAGCAGTAGATTTGGGTGCAGCCTTCTTTTTATCTGCCCACAAGGTCTAGAATGGCCTAAACACCTCAGGAAGACTCAGAAACTTGGGCAGAAAAGTTAACTTGACTGACAACACCTGTGGAACCTTCTGGTTCAGGGTCCATGTACCAAACCTCCTGGTATCTACCACTTTCAGTCTGTGGGGGAGCTAACATTTACTGTCCTGAAAATCCCCTGAGGTACATGCATCCAGTCTCTCATCCCTCAAAGAGACTGTGGCCCTTTTTGGTCTTCTGATTAACAGACAATTCTGCTTCTAGAGATTCCTGTCTTTTCTATGATTTACAAGTCTCCTTTGTCAATCCTACTCTAACAGTTTAGATGGGTGTGGTGGTACATGCCTTTAATCCCAGCATTCAGGAGGCACAGGCAGGAGGATCTTTATGAATTCAGTAGTAGGGCTGAGGATGTAATTCATCGTGGTAGAGAGTGTGCCTGGAATGTAAGAGGCCCCAGGTTTCATTTCAAATACTATCAAACAAATCAAAATAAAATGCAGTGTTACTCAGCAGTTCCAAACCTAGGGTACAAAAACATACATGAATATTCATAAGCAACATTATTTATACTAGCCAAAAAGTAGAAACAGGGGTTGGAGAGATGGCTGAGTGGTTAAGAGCACAGGTTGCCTTCCAGAGGACCTGAGGGTTCAATTCCCAGCACCTATGTGGCAGCTTGAAAGCATACCTAACTCTGGTTTCAGAGGACCCAACTCCCTCTTTCTGGCCTCCCTGAGCACCAGGCATACACATGCAGATATGTTTTCAGGCAAAACATCCACACTCTTAACATAAAAACTAATAATAAATTAAAAAAACATGTTATGTCCATACACAAATAAGCAACATGTAGTATATACTAGAACAGATTACTCAGCCACAAAAACAAATGAAATATCCACTCATGCAAGCCAGACAGAAGAGGTCACATATTTTATGAGCCTATTTATATAAACACACATAACAGTACACACAAATTTAGAACAGAAAGCAGATTGGTGATTGGGGGCGGGGAGGGAGGAAATGGAGGACTAGGAACTGACTGCTAATGAAAACAAGCAGCTTCTATTTGACACCATAAATATGTTCTAGAACCTGACAGCGATGACAGTAACACAGTCTCGTGGATAAAGAAAGATCTACTGAAGCACATACTTTAAAAGGATTTTATACCAGGCAGTGGTGGCACACGCCTTTAATCTCAGCACTCAGGAAGCAGAGGCAGGCGGACACCTGTGAGTTCGTGGCCAGCCTGATCTATAGAGTTCCAGGAGAGCCAGGGCTGTTACACAGAGAGACCCTGTCTCAGAAAAAAAGAAAAGAAACAGAAAAGGAAAAGACTTTACAAAAATAAAACGTATAGTATAGTCTCCTTTACAGTTCTACTCCTTCAGGGACTGGATCACAATCACGCTCAGTTCAGAAACCTACAAATTCTGTCAGATCACAACAATTCTATCACAGTAATATGTCTCCATTCTCTTTACCCACACCTTCCTTCTGACTCTTGGGTTACCTCATTCATGCCTTTAACATTCATTCATCAGGACCTTCATCCTCCTGGTGAAGTTGCAACCCTTCACATGACTTCACAGGGGCCTCTCACGACCGGGCTGCACTAGCCAGGCACTCGGACTACCTGGCTTCTCCACCTGTGGTCCCCATGAGCGGATGCCACCGCACTTCATTTATTTATGTTTTACAGATTTATTTATATACTTTATGTATAAGGGTGTTTTGCCTGCATGTGCATTTGCACATCGGAAGAGGGCTTAGGATCCCGTGAGACTACAGTTATAGACGGTTGCGAGCCACCATGTGGATGCTGGGAATTGAACTCAGGCCCTCCCTTCGGCCCTGCCACCGCACTACCCCTAACCCGAGGCTCCACAGCACTTAACAGAATTCATGCAGCGCGCGCTATCACCGTGCAGCCAGCAAGACACCACCCGGGCTCGCCCCACCGCACGCCGTCCGGAAACGCTCGCAGCAGCAGAGGAACACCGGAAAGTGACTCTCGCTCCACTTCAACCCCCGTCACACCACACACGCAGTCTCGCGCACTCTGCGCCTGCGCACTCGTCATTCTCTGCTCGCAAGCCTCACTGCGCAGGCGCAGTTTCGCGGTTCTCCGTTGAGAAGGTGCGGCTGCTGCGCGGGAGGTAGGAGGAGCCGGGCATCGGGCTAGTGACCCGGCGGGGCTGGGGGTGGGCTGTCAGTTTCCGTGGTACCCCCCTCTCTTGCGAGGCCGGTCGGCGTCTGTCTCGTCCGCAGGCGCCAGCGGCCGTTCGATCTCAACTGGCCAGCGGCGGAGTAGCAGTGTGCTCGGTAGACAGGGGCAGAGCCCGCCAGGAGGGAGGTGGGGACATGCCTTGACCACCGGACAGCCTAGAGATCCGAACGGTCTGTCTGGCTTTAGGACCGTCGGGGCGTTCCTCAGGCAGGCCCCCAGTCTCCTTTCGTGGGTCTCCAGATGGAGTAAGCGGGGAGGGTCCGCCCCGCCCCCGGACCTATTCATTCCCTGGACGCCTGAAGGGAGCTGGCAGACTGGTAGGGGCTGAGGAGGCAGGAGTTCCTGCCCTCCGGAAGCTTGAAGCCTAGTGGGATGGATCACTTATATCCTCTATCAGATATTGGTGGGGCACCTAACAGAGAGGGACATCTTATCACTCGATTGTCAGCAGAGATGTGGGGACTCAACACTAATGAATGTGAAATTTACACACCTCTAGCATGATAAAATTCAGTTTGCTTTTGCCAGATGTTCAAGGCCTTTGTGCCTAACTTCCTTCTCCCTGCATACCTCTCCCTTCTACCATTTCTCTTCACTCCCACTGTATCAAACTCTTTGCAGTTGGTGAACTCAACAGATAGTTACCTAGCATTTATTATAAGTTGGGTACCAGACAAACCAAAGAAAATACAAAGTAAATAAATCTGCATCTAACTGATGTGCTGAACTTCATTAAGAGATAACTCAGTGAATAAAAAACAGGATTAAAACCCGAACCACACTGCCTAGACTATGCCTTGCTGCTTCAAAACTGTTCCTCATTCTACTTGTGCATGATTCCTCGATCTAAAGAAAAGGTGATGGCAAATTGTGTTGCAGGATTGCCGTAAGGATTAAGTGAGTTAGGGATTTAAGAAGCATTTGGCCTAGTGTCTGGTACACAAGCATTCAATAAGAGTTATGCACTGCAAATGATTATAAGCTGTGACAGATGACACTGTGACAATCATGTGTGGTAATACAGATTGAGGAGTGGGACAGGGCCCATGTGAAGGAGTAGGGGGAAATCATCTAAGATTATTGCATGACTAAATTTGGAATGAATAGGCTTCTGCCAGTGGGTTATTTAGGGAGGTTTTGTGTGTATGTATGTATGTGTGTGTGTGCAAAGACCAGATGAGAATGTTGGGTATACTGCTCTATCACTGTTGGTCTATCCCCTCAAGACAGGGCCTTTCACTGGACCCTGAAGCTGTAGTTTTCAAGAGGACTGGATAACCATCAAGTCCCAGCAGTCCTCTTGTCTCTCTCTGTCTCCCCTTCCCTCTGCCCAGCACCAGGGTTACAAGTGAGTGCTACCACACCGGATTTTTTTTTTAACATGGTGCTGGATACCTGAACTCATGTCCCCGTGCTTGTACAGTAAGCACTCTTACCCACTGAGCCATCTCCCCAGACCTAGATTATTAAGTTTTGATTTTTGAATCCTAATACCCTGTGTACCCCCAGTAAATATTCATGCCCCTAAGGCCCAACCTTTATCTGCAGGCAGTTTATATGGGTGGCATTTGCTCTCTCGTGTGTATATAAGGACATACCCTTTATCTCTATTCAGCCTCATCAGCTGATAACACAATAACTGGGATGTCTGAGCCACTGTGTGGACACAAGGTCCCTGCAGTTCGGGAACATTTATTTAGTGGCAGCTGGCCTTCATGTTTTTCTCCAAATGTCAATAAAAAATACTCTCCCAAGATACATATTTTTTCCTGCTGGAGACTATGCATTGGCAGGCTTCTAGAAGTACATGTGTGTGCATGTGTTGTGTGCCATGTGCGCTGTCCTAGGACATACTGTACTATACTATACTATACTATACTATACTATACTATACTATACTATACCATACCTTGGGGACTTTCCCCATACCCTACATGCTCTTGTTCCTTCCTGGAAGAAATTACATAAAATAACAATAGCTGTCTAATTATTCTTAGATGCTTTTGGTTTTCCACAGATACGAAATTAAATGAACCCATACCCTTTATCGCTATGGAGGTCTTGGAGAATCAGCTCACATGTGTTCTGTCTCAGTGGCAGCAGTTGAACAGCAACATATCCCTTCCCTTGTGAATATTAACAGAGGAAAGTTTTTAAACATGTTTAACTACGGGTCCAAAGTGAAGGAAGATAGTTAAGTCATTATGGAGAAGAAAATAGTACTTTGTTCATAGTTATGCAAAGTCTCCAAGTAAATCAGAGAAGAGAAGCCCTAGTGAAACCAGAGTGTGGCAAGGCCCAAGTGGGCATTCTCATGAGTTTCTCCTCTGTGGACATGTTTCCAGATTGGTCCTCATTCCCCTAAAGACAAGCCTGAAAAACCTTAAAACGGGTCACATGATGGATGAGTCAGATGATGATTTCAAAGAGCTCTGTGCCAGCTTTTTCCAAAGGGTGAAAAAAAATGGAGCCAAAGATGTGTCAGGAGAGAGAAGGAAGCAGAAGGCAGCTGGCAGCACCCAGAAAAGAGGCAAGCTGAAAGAAGCCACACAAGCCGCCACCAGGAGCAAAACCCTTCAAGACAAGAAACCTCGTTCAGGCAGCCAGGCCTCTAGGACTAAAAAGCAAGGGGCACCTAAATCCCAAGAAGGGGACCCAGCTCTCCCTGTGAATGGAAAGGGAGCTGTCCTTGCTCCTACCCCACAGCCTGTGTTGCGTGAAAGAGCACAGAGCATTCAGACAGGTAACCAGCAGGGCCCGCTGTGACCCACTGCCAGATTTGGTTATGGAGAGGGAACTAAGCGATGTGTGCTGCTGTAAACTGGGGCTCAGAAAACTTGCTATAAAAGGCCAGGTAACATACACCTCTAATCCCAGCACTCAGGAAGCAGCGGTTGTGACTTGTGCCAGCCTGGTCTACATACTGAGTTCTGGGACAGCCATGGCTATGTAGAGAGATCCTATCTCACACAAAACAAAACAAAAGACCAGAGAGTAAATACCATGTTTTTACAGATCATATAGTTTGTACTGCAACTATGATTGGCCCTCCTTGTCTGTGGGGTTCCAAATCTATAGGTTTACCCTCTGTCACATGCTCAACATGTGAGAAAAGAAATAGTCTGTGCTTAATATGTCCAGACTTTTTTCTTTTTATTCCCTAACAATAAAGTGTAGCAACTATTTATACAGCATTTACTGTGTATTTGGTACTATATTAATCTGTAGCTGAATTAAAGCACATTGGGGTACACAGGTTAAATGCAGATAGTATACTTTATAAAAGGGACTGGAAATTTGTAGGGACTATTAGACTAATCTTCCCTAGATACAGAGGTCAACTGTGCTTAATGGCTGCTATAGTGAGAAAGCAGAGATAGATGGTATGGAAGTGAGTTGGTATAGCCTTGTGCCAGTGGAACTTAATTTATAGAAACATGGCTGCCCTAGGACCATAGTTTGCTCAATTCTATGTGTGTGTTCCTTTGTGACTTTGTATGAGTATGTGCTCTGCTTTCCATGAGTGTTTGTATAGTTGACAGTCAGCATAAAGATAATGGCACTTTTGTTTTTTTTTTTTTTGTTTGTTTGTTTGTTTTTTGTTTTTTTGTGAATTAATTCTAAGTTAGGTAAGTTGGAATGGCCAGCCAATCTGGTTAGGCTGAAGAGGCTTTCAGAGGGTGCACTACAGGTTCAAGTTCCCTTCCCTGTCACCCTTGACATCCTCAGCCTCTTCACACAGCACTTAAACCAGCCTTGCACGGGTGATGCATTCACTCTTCAGGCTCCTGATTTCTGTTTCTGATTTTCCTCACCTCTCCTTTGTCCTAAAGAACATTTTTTTTTTTTTTTTTTCCCTAGCGTGGGTACAGAGTCTGAGTGCTAGAGACCGCTGAAGGACTATGTAATGCTGCCTGGGTACTCTGGGCACTCAGGCTCCCTTTGTGCAGCTGCTGAAAGCATTTGTACATGCATATGTGTGAAATTGGCTCATAGCTTCAGGGGTTCTTGAATCTCCACATAAGGCCATAGATGGATCTCAAGTTAAAGAATTGGTCTAGAAAGAAACACTTACCATTAGTATTTCTTTAATGAGTTTTATTGAGGTATTACTCATATTCCATAATTTCACTCTTAAAGTGTACAGTTTAGTGTTTTTAGTACATTTAGAGTTGTGCAACCACCACCACTACTACTACCTAACTTGAGAGTGTTTTTATGACCCCCAAACAAACCACAAACTCATCAGCATTCGCTGAAGCCAGTGCCCCCCTGCATTGGCATATGTCTGTCTCCTTGCTACAGTGAGCACATGAACAGGTCCTGTTCACACAAGTCAGGTCAGATGTGAACTGACTGGTAAAGGACATTTTGGGAAGACATTTGTAGAACAAATGCTGTGAATATTTTCCTCCTTGTCAGAGAGTGCTCCCAATGGCGACTCCCTGCCCCTTCCATCCTGTTTCACTACGACTGGTGTGCCAAGTCCCTCCAAACCCAGAGCCTCAGAGCTGGTTCTCCAACGGATGAAACAGTTCAAGAGAGCAGACCCTGAGCGCTTGAGACATGCTTCAGAAGAGTCCTCCCTAAAGATCACGTTAGAAGAAAATGTCCCAAGGAACCCTCAAGAGGAGATGGTAGTAGAGAACGGTATGGTGAGCATGTTGTTTTCTAAGGAAAGACAGTGTAAAAAAGGGAAACAGAAGGAACCCTGTTGGCCTCATTTTTTTTTTATACAGGTTCTTTGTCTGATGTTTATCTCACCACCTTGTTGGAGGAATGGAATATCTCTATAAGATCTATTTGTTTCATTATTTTTAATTACATGTATGTATATGTCTGTGTGGGGTATGTACATGGAAGTGCAGGTGCCCGTGGAGGCCAGAAGAGTGTGTTGGATCCCTTGGAGCTAGAGTTGCAGGCAGTAGTGAGCTAGTTATCTGACATGGGTACTGGATGCCAAACTCTGGTCCTCTGCAAGAGCACGACACACTCATCCCTGCTGAATTTTCTTACTGGATTTCTTACGTGGTCTTGCCCCGTTTTTTTCCTTACTCCCTTTCCAGTCTCCCTCCCAATTCTTATTATGAAATTATTCTTTTACAGAAAGTTTTTGTTTTGTTGTTGTTGTTTTAATCATAGTAGGGCTGAAGAAATGGGTTAGTATGTGAAGTATTTTCTGAGTAAGCACAAGGACTTGAATTCAAATCCCCAGCGTCTCCAACTGGACATGGTGGTGCACACTGTAACTCTCACACTCAAAAGACAGACAGATTCCTGAGAAGGTGGAAAGAGATAGGGGAAGACACCTGACATTGGCAATGGCCTACACACACACACACACACACACACACACACACACACACACACCAAAAATCAAAACAAAATAAGAAAAAGTTCTCAACCTTCCTAACACACACACACACACACACACACACACACACACACACACACACACACCAAAAATCAAAACAAAATAAGAAAAAGTTCTCAACCTTCCTAATGCTGAGGATCTGTATGTTATGGTGACCCCAACCATAAAATTACTTTGTTGTCATTTTATAACTAATTTTACTATAGTTATAAATCATAATGTAAATATCTGATCTACAACTCCCAAAGGGGTCATGACCCACAGGTTGAGAACTGTAGCTTCATGTACCCTATCTAGAGTTAACAGTTGTAACATTTAGCCATACACATACTTTTTTGTGTATAGTTTTTCACATCCTTCACTGTTTGTTTTGGTTTTATTTTTCAAGACAGAATTTCTCTGTGTAGCCCTGGCGCCACTCCTGCATGACTTGTTTTTCCACATCTTAATTAGCTTTGTTCATGATTCTGGAATTGGGCAGCAGACTAGACTCAAAATGGTTCCACATGCTCTTGCCTTATGTATTTTGTGTTCCACACACATTAATGATGTCAGTGATAGTGTGATGTCACTGACGAGCAACCCATAGATTTCTCAAATTAGCACAACCCAGTTTCATAACAGTTCCCCAGTTGTCTAAGCTATCTTTTTAGCTGTACTGGACCTCACTCTATAGACCAGGCTGGTCTCGAACTCACAGAAATCCACCTGCCTCTGCCTCCCAAGTGCTGGGATTAAAGGCGTGTGCCACCACCGTCCAGCCCAAGCTATCTTTTGTAGCTTGCTTTTTTTTCCTGCACAAAGTTCACATGCTATGTATTGTTTTAGCTCTAATAGTCTTTTTGGGATGGGGTTCAGACTTTACTATATAGTTCTAGAATTCACTATGTAAACCAAACTGCCCTTGAATTAAGGGTTAATCCTTCTGCCTCTAACCCCATTCCCATATTAGTATTATAGGCTTGAGTGTCATACCCCATTTTGAATGAAATCTCTTTAGTTCAGCAGATTGTAGAATAGTTCCCATTTTTTTTTTTTTTACATTAACTTTTGAAAAGTCCAGACTGGCTCATAATTTAGCACATTTTGGATTTGCTTAATTATTTGTTTGTGGTGAATTTTATGTAAATTAGAGGTCTGACCAGCTTCAGTTAAACAGCTTGGCATCCTCTCTTAAAGTGGCTGTGAACTTTGTGTTCCTAGAGGCTCATAATGTCAGGTGATCCTGTAAGCATTGTGGATCTTCATCTCTGATGAATGTGTTCAGAAGGAGAAGAAGGGGATTTTGGGGAAAGGCTCACTGGGTAAAGCACTTGCCACACAAGCATGAGGAGTTTGATCCTCAACACCCACATCAAAGCTGAGCATGCATGAAGGGCCTACCTATAATTCCAGGGCTCAGGAGACTAATACCGGAGATCCCTGGGGCTAACTGCCTGGCTGGACTAGCTGAACTGATGAGCTCCAGGTTCTGAAGAAACCCTGCCCCAGTAAACGAAGTGAAGAGTGATCAAGGAAGACACCCAGTGTCAACCTGTGGCCTACACACACACACACACACACACACACACACACACACACACACACACACACGTACACAAGTACACATGTGTGCTTGCTCTAAAGTAAACAACAGGAAGAAACACTAGTGGAGGATCCACATCCAATTAATAATGGGACCTCTGGGTACTGTATTTGCTATCTTCACTTTGAGAACCCTAAGGATTCTCAGGCTGCAATGATTGGACATCTTGTTGAGTCATCAGTCCTTATGGCAGGCATGTGGCAGGAAGTAATACACACCATCTCTCTGTTTAGGAAAAAGAGGAGCTGGGGTTGGGGCTGTAGCTCAGTGGTGCAGTTTATCATGTGTGAAGTCTTTGGTTTGATCTCTAAAACCCAAAAGAAATAAGCCACCAAATGAAGTTGTGCTGTTTTTTGAGCCTATGACAAGAGTGGTTGACTAAAGTAATAGTCAAGAACTTGGAGAGCTGTAAGTTCTAAAGGCATATTCTCTGAGTCCAGGGCCACCTTTTGAGCTATCTCAAGGCCAGAATCACTCTATCCTTTAGTCAGCTGATAAGAGGAGACTTGATTGTCAGAGGCATTTCACACTGTCCTGATTCTTTTGTTATAATTGGTAAGAAGTCAGCATAGAAGAGGCTGAGCTGTTATACTGTTATACATGCGAGTCCCCAGCTGGATCCCACACATCAAAGCTTCAGGTAATCTGTGTGCACACTAAAGTGTGGAAAGAGCTATTCCAAGAGTCCCCCTGCCCTGTGACCACTCTCCCTAGACAGTGCCTCTGTAAACACACTTGCAGAGTGGTGCTACGTTTTAGTTTCTTTGTTCTTTGCCTAATGCCCATGATGCTAGAGCTGTAGACAAAACAGAAGGGTAGAAGGTCATGGAGCCTGTCTGTTCTCATGGATCTGGATGCTTCTCCACTCCACAGAGTATAAGCCCAGGCTCCATGCTACAGACAGTGATGCTGCTATGGCCCTGGCCTTACAGCAGGAGTTCAGAAGGGAGGAAGCATCTTCCCATCATGACAGCTTGGAGGAGAAGGGGTTGTTCTTCTGCCAAATGTGTCAGAAAAACCTCTCAGCAATGAATGTGACGCGGAGGGAGCAACATGTGAACAGGTAGGAGCAGCAAGGCCACCCCCTTTTCTGTGTCAGTGACCAAATTCCAGTGGCCTGACAGCACCAGTGGGGATATTGACACCTTGCATTGGGGTAGCACCTCAGTCACTAACACACCCCTTCTTCTGAACAGCCCGCGGAGGTATTTCAGCCACTCAAAGGACACAAGCCCTTGGCTTTTGTGCACCTGTCACCACTGTCAGTTTTGGATTACTTTCATCACCTCCAAAGGGGACACCTTCCTCCTTGGAAGTCACTGTGTGTTGTCCCTTCCTCATTCTGACAACTACCTCGAATGCACTCACAGATGTGGGATCACACAATATTTGTCCTTCAGTGTCTGTCCTCCACTTATCCATGTTTTCAGATCTCATTTCTGTGTCGTGTGTCAGCATGTCATCCCCCAAACCACTCTAATGGCTAAATAGTAGCCCATTGTGTGGCTAGACCTCATACTTGCACTTTCATCCATTGCCAGACACTTGGGTTTCCACCTTGTGGATTTTATAGTAGAGCTGCTGTGAGCATGTGTTTTATGGATTTGTTTGAACACTTTTTTCATTTCCTTGGGACTCATACTTGGGAGTGGAATTGTTGGATTGTAAGGTAAAAGTCTGTCCTCAAATTCCTTAGGCACCTTTGCTAACACATAACTAAATTTAGTGTCTGAGGCTGACTTCCAGGAGACATGCAGATGGTGTGAGGGGATCAGCTTTTGGGGAACATTTACATGTCCATCAAGCATTTGCTGTGGTCCCTGTTACTTGAGAAGGTTGTTCTGTATTACTGACTTCCTGCAGATGCCTTGATGAGGCGGAAAAGGCGCTGAGTCCTGCTCCACCTCAGATCCCTGATTGCCCAATATGTGGCAAACCATTCCTCACCTCCAAGAGCAGAATCAGTCACTTGAAGCAGTGTGCAGTGAAGATGGAAGTAGGCCCCCAGCTCCTGCTCCAGGCTGTGAGGTTACAGACAGCTCAGCCTGAGGTGGGCAGCAGCCCTCCAGTACCCAGGTAAGACAGATGAAGGAACCAAATAATGGCATTTTCATTCCAGTTAGACTTTGCCTGGAAAGCTTGTTATAGTGTTGGAGAGAACTAGCTCTCTCTTGGATTCTGGCATGAGATGAAATTGTTCATGGTTGAAGAAGGATCAAGGAGCACAAGGGTTTTGCATGTGTGAGGGGCTACCCATGCAAAGAATTGCCACTGCTTCCTTGAGGTCCTTCCTTCAACATTGCCAGTCCCATAATTCTGCATTGACTACTCTAGAGCATCTAAGAATTTCTCATTTTTCTTATTTGCTTTACTTTTCTGTCTTGGTTGTGCAGCATGCTCCTATCTTGTGTAGCTTTGTTTTCATACTATTAATGCCAAATTATTCAGCACAGTTCCAAGAGTTGACTAGGCAGAACTATAAGACTATATAATATTCTGTGAGTATCCCATACAATATTTTTGTTCATATTCACCCCCCACTCTTTCCCCTAAGAATGTATTTTTTAATTGCATGAGTTAATGCATATGTATTAAAATAGGAGGCTCCCATAACAACTGGGAAGCAGTCCTCAGTATGCAGACTCCAGACATGCAAGCAATGTAGGCTCAGCTCTGTTCCCTGTCCCTGAGCTGAGTACATCTAAGTTGGCCCCAACTTTACAGGGAACAGAGGTAGCGTGGGTACCAGACTTCTGTGGAAAAATGTTTATCCTCATCACTGCCTTGCACGTGGGTTATCAGCTGCTGGACTGGGCCACAGTGAGCAGAGGAGGGTCTCCAAGCCAGGGAGTCTCCCTACACTTAGTGTATCCATACTAGTATTGTAGGGCAGGAGGCCTTGAGGTCATAGACATCTAATCTATTGTTTATCTCACAGATTAAAATTGTTTACTTTTAAAAGGCTTCCAAATAGTGAAATTAGATGTATACATGGGTCCTTCTAGAAGGCTGGTGAGTAGAAAAGTATGGGAGTCAATCATCCTCAAAGGGCTTTGGGCCTTCCCTAAGGGGGTTTTGAATGTTCTCTGCTGAGACCAAGCTGAAGCATTTGGACTTTAGAATATTCCAGATTTCGTGGTTAGAGCACCATGCTGGTCTGAGTATGTTGTTGCCCTCCACACTCCTTACTTGGTTTCTCTAAGCCCGAACCCTGCCTATGTCCCAGAGTGTAGTACCAGCACTGCTCTTACTCCTGCCTCCTGGCTGCTGGCTGGTGCCCCTCTCTCTTGCCTATGTTAGCGATTGTCTTGTCTGAGTTAGGGATTGTTTACACTTTCCAAGACCACACCTAAGACTCTTCTACCTTCCCTGTGTAGGGAGAGCTTGAGCTTTTGCAAACATCTGAGTTGCTTCCTAGCACACCTCCTCTTTGCCCAGCTGCTGGGGCTCACTCAGACAGTAGATTTTTTTTTCCCCAGCCACAAAGGACATCATACAAACCTTCTGTAAGGCAGAGAGAGGTCAGCTCTAGCGTGTCTGTTTATGTAGCAGCAGAGTCTGGAGCCCTGTCATTTGGGCCTTGTATAGAATGCTACTGTAGTCCTCCTGCAGAAGGGTCCATTGTGGCCAGGACTGCCTTGGGAGTATCTGAAGTTTCAGTGGGCAGAACTTGTTGGCTACAGAGAGCCTACTTGGAGCTATAGATGAGGGTTTAGCCACATATAGGTATGTAGGTACCACTGAGGGCCAAGAACGAGCCCAGGCCCTCCACTGTTGGGCTGTGCTAAATTTCTAGTTTGGGTCAAATGAGTGCTCTGAGAATAGATTTGGCACAGTGAAAGCCCAAGCAACTGTTGGCCCATTGCAATGGGCAGACACACCATCTCTTTTATTTTCTGGAAGGTAGGAGAGGCCCAGAATCAAAGGCATTTGCTGACCTCTCTCTGTGGCTATCTTTTTAACTTCAGCAACCATGTTGGAGGTTTAAAACGGAAAGGAGCCACCATCAAGAAGAAACCACAGAAGAGGTGGAAGGCCGACAAGCCTGAGGCTCCGTCTGAAGATCTGCTGGTGGCCATGGCTCTGTCTCGCTCCGAGATGGATCAGTGTCCAGCTGAGCCCCCACTCAGGCTGGAAAGTGCTTTTTCTGAGAAGATAAGGCTAGGTGCAGGTACATGTGGTTGGAGCAGAAGCCTGGGGAGAGCTTGGTGCCTGGTTGCTGGCTGAGAGTTATCATGGCAGCTGCTGGGATGAGTGGTCAGAGCCACTTCTGACTGAGCCACTTCTGTTTATCTCTAGAGAAGAAAGGTCGCAGGAAGAAGCCCCTGGTGTCCCCCCCGCAGTTGTTAACCCAGGACTCTGAGACCACAAGTAGACAGATTGAGGACCGTGTGGCCCAGCTACTATCAGAAGAAGTGGAGCTGTCCCACACCCCGCCACTTCCTGCCAGCAAGATTTTTAAGGAAGAATTAGAACATGCAGGCTGGCATCTGCAGCTGCCTGAAGGAAAGCGGAATTTTCTGTGGGAATGCAGCACCCTCACAGGAGCCTGGGCTGAGGAGTCCTTCTATACAGTGGGCCTGGTTCCTCCAATTGTGTCCCAACGGCCCAAGGTGAGCCCTGCTCCTCCTAACACACATGTGGATGGGCTTTGGAAAGAGGTGGGTAGTTAGAAATGCAACCAGATACCAGGGCTGGATGAGGAAAAGTCCATTAAGTAGACTAGGGAGGAAGCAACAGAGGCATTGGCTATACCTCACATCCGTAGCACCTCACTTGGACTTATGCTAAGGAAAAAAGGACTTTGGTTCCCCAAATTTAGCATATTCCCAGAAAGCTTGTTTAAATGTGAAGTCCAGGCCCACTCCTGTCCAGCTATTAAATCTGTCAGATAGAGCCTTGGAACCTAGGTCCTGTCCTTTAGACAGTTCTGCTAAAGATGGTCCTGTTCAGCAGCCTTGGCCATTTAAATAACGTGAAGTGGGCTGCTGGCTGCTGCAGACCCTTCTTCTTCACACTTGGGGGCATCAGGTAAACCTGAGCCATGACAGAAGCTGCCAATGGCTGCCTGAGCTGCTCCTGGATGCTCCTGGCCTCCCTTGAGGGCCCTGACTTATCTGCAATCTTAGATGTAGCTTTGCATGTGTAGGGTGGCTGCGGCAGAGTGTGTCAGTGACAGTAATACATCGTCACTGGCTTTTCACCTACTTTCAGGAACAGGAGCTGTCACTGCCCAAGCAGCAAGAGCCAAGTACACAAAGGCCACCTGCTTTCCACAGCAGCCCTCCCATGAGCCGCAGCCCCAAGAACCAGCTGCTGTCCTCCAGTCAGAGGGAGCATCAAGCTCTTCAAGATCTTGTGGACTTGGCAGTGGAGGGGATGAGCGCCAGCCCATTGCCCAGCAGTCTGGGAGTACTTGCAGGTGAGACACTGGGTGGCGTCTTGGGCCTGCCCATGCAATCTGAGGTGGGTTGGGAGTAGAGCATGGGCTGCTGTGAGGCTCTGTGCTCATCCCAGTTCAGTGGAGAACATGGTATAAGGTGTGTTTTGTGTTTTTTCCTCACAGATGACTGTGATGGAGCACATTCATATGTCTCACAATCTTCCTTAAACTTTAGACAAACACAGAGCTTCCTGGGCTAATCTTGTCTTACCTTTCTGTCATGGAAATGGGTAGAAATAATTGGGAGAGGGTTACTTTAAGTGAAGATAATGTGTCAGCCTAGGGTTAGCACTGCCTGCTTGGGAGGTGATGACCCTTTAATCTATGCACCCTCCTGTCAGGGTTGGATTCGGATCCCAGCAGCCTTCCACTGACTGGGTTTGTCCTGCCATCTAAGAAGACTCTTCAGAGGAGTGACCATGCCTCAGTAAGTGTGAACTACGTCTGTGCCGCAGGTTAGCGTGTCAGCTCTGCCCTGGCTTTGTGGTCTATTTCCCAAATGGCATACCTTGACAACCCTTGCTGGAGCTGAGAGTTCCCGGCCTCCTCTCTCCCCTCTTGGGTCATTGCTGTGCTTGGACACTAGGTTTCCTCAGCAGCCAGTCCTCAGAGCCAGCTTTGTTGAGGAATCCAGAAATCACTGCCTCATTTGGGCATCTGTCCTGTATGTTTGTTTCTTTAGTGATTTCCTACATCCATTAGGGATTCATTGTGCCCCATCTGTATGTGGATTATGGGGTGGGCTCCAACTAACAATCCAATGTACTCTGTTGGTAATGAGTGGCATTGGAAGGTGGGAATTCCATAAAGTGGGTGTCATTCCATAAGGACCATCCTATGCAGAGGACCATCTTGGTGATGTCCCTGCGTGTAGCGAGGATGTATTTGGTTCCTGAACAGCTTGGGCTCAGGGTCTGGTCCTTTGCATCAGGCTACTCTGAGAACCAGGTATTCTGCTATGTACATGCAGTGCTTAGGAGCTGTGAAGACTTCTTTATCCACCATTGTCCCTTCTACCATGGATCGGGCAACATACCCTAATAGGGAACCCAAGAAAGCAACTAGCATTCTCCATTCTGGTTTGATGGGGTCCTTAACGTTAGTGACCCAGAGATAGAACCTCATGCCTCACGTGCACACCCTGGAGAGGAAACCGTAGCTCTGGCCCTTGGTCTTCTCTAGCATGCCCTCTTGTGGGTAGTTAGCATAGCAATGAGGGACCTGAAGATCCTCTTTTCCTCTTCCCATTACAGCTCTCCTCGCTTGGTTTGCTGGTGTCTGACTTTGGGACAATGGTTAATAATCCACACCTGAGTGATGTTCAGTTCCAGATTGACAGCGGAGAGGTGTTTTATGCCCACAAGTTTGTTCTCTATGCCCGATGTCCACTTCTTATTCAGCATGTAAGTACACAGGGTGCTGGCGCCCTACCTCCCCCTCCCTTTTTTTTTTTCCAGAAAGAAAGTTTTCCTCCTTCCTTCACTAGTGTTTGCATCTTCACAGACTCTCCCAAACCTTCCCTCCCCTCCCCCATCTCTGTTGGAACTTAGAACCATTCTAAGTGCTGAGATTACAAGCTTGAACTACCATGTAGGAATCCAGCAGACTGCTCAGTCTTTGTCAGAAAGTTCTAGACTTAAGCATGTCTAACCTTTTTAATACTGTAATATAATATTCATCTCTATACTGGAACTCATGCAACCCACAGACCCAAACATGTAGCACAAATTATAATTTGTCTTAATAATAAAAACTCAGAGTCAGCTATCTGGGGGTGAAAGCTGAATGAGAAGCAGAGTGGCAACCCACTAGAGTTCTCCTCTATCAATGCTCAGACCAAAGGGGCCATCCTGACCTCAGACTGCATCCTCAGACTGCTCAGACTGCACTCATCTCTATGAATCCTCAGACTGCACAGACTGACTGATGCTCAGATTGCACTGAGCGCCTGTGTCCTCCAGCCTTATGTTCCTCTCTTCACCCAGCCATATCATTCCTTTTTCCACCTCCCAAGTGCTAGGATTACCTTTGTGTGAGCTCTGTTTCTCTTTTAGCCTGGATCAATTTCATGTAGCCCAAGGTGGCCTTGAACTCTCAGAGATCTGCCTGCCTCTGTTTACCGAGTGCTAGGATTAAAAGTGTGTGCCACAACTGCCTGGCCTCTATTGCTAACTAGTGCGGCTAGCTCTGTACTCTGGTCTTCAGGTAAGCTTTATTTTAGATCATAAACAAAATATTGCCACACAAAACCAGACATGCTTAGAATACATGATACACCTGCCAAGTGAAAAAATAACCTATTCCTTAAACATCCATCACCATGTGATTTTTGGAAACAAAGGTCTAGACTATAGAATCTGGCTAAGAAAATACACAAGACTTCTCCCAAAACCCCAGGATCTCAGGCTGTCTGAGAGGCTAAAGATGGATCATTGTTCACTCCAGATTATAAGCCTTATGTGTTGTCCCTGCTTTTAGGTAAATGCTGAAGGCTTCTCTGCTGTGGAGGATGGGGATCTGACCCAGCGCATCCTGCTGAGAGATGTGAGCTCTGAGGCCGCCCAGGCATTTCTGAACTATCTCTACATGGCAGACACTGACGTACCTCCCAGCCTGGCTCCTGATCTGCGTTCCCTGGCCCTAAGGTTGGGATTGTACTTTATACACACTCCACAATCTTTAGAGTTGGGACATGAATTGGGAGATTGATAGGTAGTTAGCTAGCCTGCCAACAATGCTGTCCACTGTGGCTTTTCTCAGGCACAGGGTCTTGAGTAACTGTCAGTACTGCCTGGTTTTATAGCCCTCCTGGCTGCTGTGATTGCCAGCTCACTTGACACACCTTCACTTTGTTAGTAGTGGAGTTTAGGCACCATGGCTGCTATCTAGTGCCATGACCAAGGGGGTCCCTACACAAGGGGAAAGGCCACAAGAGAGACACCCTGTTCCTCTTCATGAGATATGCTCTGGCCACCAGTTGTAGCTGCCAGCAGGTGCCTCTGTACAGAGCAGTTAATACAGTTTCTCCTCCTATTGCAGATTTGGTGTGAGTGACCTTGTTCACCTATGTGAACAAGTGCCTGTCATGATGGACTTGGAGGGAGAGCGACAGGAGGAGAAGGAAAATGAGAATTGCGAAAGCAGAGCAGAGAATTTCCAAGAACTCTTGAGGTCAGTGTGGGTAGATGAGGAGGAGGAAGCAGAGATGCTGTTAAAACCTGAGGTCTGTGAGGAAGACAGAGAAAAGGTGAATGAAGCAGAAATGGAAGAAATTTATGAATTTGCAGCCACTCAGAGGAAGCTGCTCCAAGGGGGGAGCACAGCAGACACAGATGAGGATGCTAACCAGCTCGGGGAGGTCAGTACAGTCTCTGAGCCTTCCCTAGCAGGTGCCCAGAGTAACAGACGTACAGAGCAGATGGAGTCATCTGGGCTGGTCGGCTGGGAAAATGAAAGAGATTCCATTCCACCCCAGGGCCAGCGCTCGGACTGGGGAGAGAAAGCAGGCACCCAGGAGGCGCTAAGGGAAGCAGCTAGCCAGCCCAGCTCCTGTAGCCCTTCTGAGAGCCACCAGGTGAGTGAGGGGTGCTCTCCTTTGCATCCCACCAAGGCCCATGACTACAAACAGCTCTTTGCATCAGCTCAAAGAAAATCATCTGAACTGTCAAAAATAGCAATTGGTCGTGAAGAGCAGAGTGACACTGTCCGTGAGAGGCCTGCAGAGGCAGCCCATTCCCCTGCCCTAGAGCAAGCACCCTGCTTCCTCCTGCCACAGTCTCCTGTAGGTGGAAGTCCCGGCCAGTCACAGCTTCATCTATATCACACAAGCGGTTTGTCCCCGTCAGCGTCCCAGTCGCACTGCAGCATTTCCAAGGTGGCATCCCCAAGCTCACTGTCTCCGGTCACACCAGCTAAGCAGAGAAGGGACAGTAGCGTTCTCACATCATTGAAAGAACCAGGCCACCAGAAAGGCAAACGAAGCAGAAATAGGGGCATCCTGACTTCCCCAGCAAAGTCTCCACCCATTGACCTGACCCAGTCCGTACCTGATCACTTGAGTCCCAGGTCCCAGAATCCTCTGTGTCACGTGAAGAAAGAGGACGAGGTTATCCTTTTACTGGATTCAGATGAGGAGCTGGAACTAGAGCACAGCAAGACAAAGTTAATTTCTAAAGAGTCCCCAGAAGGAAGGAGAATTCTAGAAGTTAGCCCCAGTTCCTCTGAACTGTTTTCAGTCATCGATGTTGATGAAGAGCATTTCCAAAGCCCACCAAAGAGAGAAGCCGGGCTACAGAGGGAAGAGGAGGAACAGCTGGAAAGCCAGGCCACCCTGCAAAGCAGAGCGATCCCCTGGCTGTTCTGCAGCCAGAAGAACAGCCTGGAGGAGGACAGCACTACAGACACCTCCTGGCTGGTGCCTGCCACTCCGGGGCCCTGCCAGAGCCGTGATTGCTCATCACAGACCCAAATCTTAAGCCTTAAGGCCAGGAGCCCACCAGACGAGACTGTCCAGCACACACCCAGGCCTTCCATAGATTGCAGGACTGTGCAAGAAGCATCCCAGAATCTCTCAGTGATCATGCCACATAAACTGCCTGTTACTCAAGGACCTCCCGACAGTGGGAGACTGGCCTACAGAAGCCCTTCCCATCCTTATCCTAGGTGCCACAAACATTCTTCTCTACAGCCATGTCCTACCCCCAATTTTGCCAGGTTGCCCCCGAAAATCTCATCGCCTGGGCCATGCCTGCCAGACCAGGCTGCAGCTGATGAAGTAGTAGAAGTTGGGGACAGTGATGATGAGCAGGAGGTGGCTTCCCATCAAGGAACCAGCAGCCCTGTGCTAGATGGTGACCCCCCAGTTCCCATGGGTGACTGCTGTTGGCATGATGAGCCCCTCTCACCAATTCCAATTGACCACTTGAATCTAGAGCGGACTGGCCCCCTGACCACAAGCAGCCCCGGCCGTCAGTCCCAGGAGGCTCTTCATAGTCGTGATTGCCACTCCCCAGGACTCCTGGGCACCACTCCGATCCGAGGGCGCTATGGTGCCCTGAGAGGGTCTCCTGAGCAGTCTTCACACACTGCCTCTCCAGGGAACAGCAAGCTGAGCTTCATGAGCCGGGCTCTGTGGGACGACTGGGGTGAGGAAGAGCAACACTCTCCAGAGGCTCCACCTGTGGCCCAAATTCTGAGCACCAGAGCTTGCAAGCCAGGCAGCCCAGAGACACCAAGTGAGTGGCTGTGGGGCCTGAGAGGTCTTGTCCTTTATTGTTTACACTAATGGGGTGTGGAGGTCTAGGGTGAAAGCTGGGCTAGCAGTGCTGAAGGACTTGCTCATCTGGACAAGACCTTCTCTTTTATCCCCCCCCCCCAGACTCTCTTGTGAAGTAGAAGAAGTGGCTGGGTCCCTAGGATATACTTCAGAACCAGCAAGTCAGCATCTCCTAAGCCTGCCCGTATCTCAACTGATGCACTGATTAAAAGTTCCTTTCTGTGAACCCACCTCCAGAACACTGACCCAGTAGCCAGAGGTTATAGCTGTCAACAGACATCACAGTTGTACCTTAAGATGGCAAAGTGTGGTTCCTTAAAAAGTTCAGTAATGGGCTAAGGCTCAGTGGTAGCAAACACGGGACCCTTAAATTCAATCCCAGCACCAGGTGTATAAAGATATAAAGAATTTAAATATACGAACCTGGGTGTGATGACACATGCCTATAATACTTGGGAGATAGAGGCAGGAGGATCAGAAGTTCAAAGTCATCATCAGCAATATAGTAAGCTTTTCATGTCTAGGCTATGTGAGACCCTGTATTTAAAAAAAAAAAAAGAAAGAAAGAAAGAAATAAAGAAAGAAAGAAAGAAAGAAAGAAAAAAGCTGAGTATAGTGCCACACACCTTTAATCCTAGCATTCAGGAGGCAGAAGCAGGCGGATCTCCGTGACTTCATTTCTGGCAGTTAGGTTCAGGATTGCTGGGTCATAGGGTAACTGTGGCTAGCGTCTTGAGGAACTGCCACACTTTCCCCCCAAGATACTGCTTCATTTTCACCCCTACCAAGCAATGTGTGAGGTGAGGGTTCCAATTCTCCCCTCTAATGGCTGTGAAGTGGTATTGCACTGTATTTTTGCTACCTGATGGCTGATGATGCTGAGCATCTTTGTATTTTTTTAGTGGCCATTTGTGCATGTTCTTTGGAGAGATGCTTGCCCCAGTCCTTTGTTTATTTAGAATTATATTGTACTTTTTCTTTCATTTACTTATTGTGTGTGCGCATGTGCATGCAGAGGTCAGGAGACAACTCTGGGTGTTGGTCCTCTCTTTTCACTATGTGGCTCCCAGGGATAGAACTCAGGTTATCAGGCTGGTGGGTAGGCACCGTTACCTGAACAGGCACCAAACCATGTCAACAGCCTGCATTGTCTTTTTCTTGTTGATCTAGGAAGTTCTGATGTCTAATGCTGCCAGTTGTCAGGTGCTATCACTGCTCACCAGGCCACTCTTTAACCTTAGGTTAGGTCATGTGCTGGGCTGCTGTTGTAAGAGGCCCCAGAGCCTGTTCACCAGGCATTAGCGTTGTGTACATGGTTCTTCACAATTGCTGGGTACTCCTTGTTGTGCCTGCCGGAAATCCTCTCAGCCTCCAAGGAAGTGACTCCCGACTGCAAAAGAAAAAGGTTTCTTATTGCTAAGAACCAAACCGGCTGGGACTTCACTCTATGGGAAGAGTAAGGCACCTGCTTACAATTTCAAAGCATTTTTAAAAGGGAAAGGGAGGCTTAGCTCACAAGGTTTCCGAGATTACAGAGGTTTCACAGAGTACAAAGTTATTACAAGGCCGGATTGTTTAGCACACCTGCAGGAGTTTTATGTTCGTTTGTTTTTTTTCTCTACAGCATGCTGGTGGGCTCAAGATAATGGGACAGGGGGTTGTCTGCACAGCTGGTGTGAGCTCCTAGCTCCTGCTTTCTTCTTTAGCTCCTGAGAACAGCATGTGGGCTCAGTACTCTGCAGTCAGGGAGTTATCCACTGGCAGAAATTCTTGTTCTCTCTAGTTTTCCCTTCTTGCCATAAGCCCTATACATACTTTTAGTTATTAATTTTTCCTCACACTCCTCCCAATGGGAAGATTCAACTCAGATGGTGAAGGTGGCCATTAATGCTCGTTCTCCTTGGCCATGGTGTTGATTGGGGTCTATCAATTCCCATGTGACACTTCCAGGGCAAGAAGTGGTAGCAAATCCATGCCCCTCATGCTAAGACCTGTGCTTCTCGTGTTTTATCCAGAAGGTGCTAACCGGAAAAAGAACTTGCCTCCTAAAGTGCCTATAACTCCAATGCCAAGGTATTCAATCATGGAGACCCCAGTGCTGAAGAAAGAACTGGACAGGTTGGTCGTGTTCCTCCAGGCTTCCTCTCAGGCGGTCTATTGGGAATAACCAGGCCCAGGAAGGAGACTGACCCAGCACCTTTCAGGTCTTGGAGACGAGCTGGCCTGAGCCTGGGCGGGAAGTCCTGCAGGTTGCTGAACAGAGGGTGTGGTTGCTTAAGTAGGGTGGATGCTGGGCTTTTCTTTGCTTCTATCAGATCTGAGCTCAAGAAGCTAACTCATGAGGCTCCTGTGGGTTACTCCTAGGAAATAGGTCTCCATGTTCCATACTGGTAGACATGGGGGGACCCTAGCCATGCCATCCAAGTAAGGAGACTTCATTTTTTTTTTTTTTTTAATAATGTGAAAACTGTCACATTCCAACAATACTGCTCTTCAGCTTGAGTGTTTGGTGAAGTCACTGTTTCCACCATTTCTCAGAATGCTATGGGATTCTGGCATAGACCTCCAAGCTTAGTTGGCATGTGGCCAGATGGTCAGCTTTGAATGTGCCCGAAAGTCGGGTTCTAAGATTTCCATCTGATAAAGCCATGCGCTCCTCCACAGAAATAGCTGCACGGTTGAACCCTGACGTCCACCTGTTTCCACATGCAGGTTTGGAGTCCGTGCTCTGCCCAAACGCCAGATGGTACTAAAACTGAAGGAGATTTTCCAGTACACTCACCAGACTATGGAGTCAGACTCGGAGAATGAGATCCAGTCCTCCCAGGTGCCCCCGGAGGTACCTTGCAGCCAGGCCCCTCCCATTGAGACCTTCAAGCCTTCAAGGTTAGGAGGCTACACCCAGCTCAAGGCCATTGCAGATCTTGGGACTCAAAGAGCCAAGGGTCCCACTAAGAGCAAGGGCCCTCAACATCAAAAGACACAGCACGGTGAAAGTGTTTTCCACTCGAGCAGGTTGCCAGCTGGGGAGCCGCCTTCAGGCCCTGATGGGGATGCCTCACTCCCAGCCTCCCAGGAATCCTTGGCTACCTCTGTGGATGGCAGTGACAAATCCTTTAGCTCTCAAAGGTAACAGAAGCAGCAGGGCCAGTCATATCATGTGTCCTCTGAGTAGTGGGTCTGATGTCCACTACTAATGTCCAAAACCCATAAAATTTCTGGGCTCTTTAGGAAGCCCACATGGTTTAAAGGTTCACTTTCCAAGTCCCTACAGGGCTTTGAAACTCTGTAGCTTCCTTATATATGGGAGCTTTCTGGCTGAGGGGGGGTCCCACCTAGACTAGCCCAACCCGGGAACTAGGTAGGAACCACAGACCTGTGGGACACCTAGGAGTCTTGTCACATGGGAAGCCCAACAGAGCCCTGGAAGCACTCATTCCCACAGAGGGGCCCCTGGTCTTGAGGGCTGTAGACAAAGGGTGTTACAGACATCATCATCCTTTTCAGTTCCTCCTGTGAGTTTGGAGCTGCCTTAGAGTCTGCAGGTGGAGAGAAGGACGAAGAGGAGGGGGTCAGTGCGTCACAAGTTGCCCTCCAGGCCGCAGACACGGAGGAGGCCGTGAGACGCTACGTCTGCTCCCAGCCTGCCCTGTATAGGAAGGTACTGACGTACCAGCCTCTTGAGCTGGCCGAGCTACAGGCAGAGCTGAAGCAGGAGGGCATCCCTGTGGCCATGGGCAAGCTGCTGGACATCCTCGATGCACAGTGTGTCACCTTTACAACTGCTGCAGCCCGAAAGGAGAAGCAGAAACAGAAGAGACGGCAGCCCCTGGGCAGAAAGAAAAAGGACCAGAAATGACAGGCTTTCTGCCAGAGGGCCTGGACACCCAGTGCAAGTCAGGCCTCTGTGGGTATGTCTCAATATCAGCCTGCGTCTCTGTAAAGGACAACATCCCCAGCATACTCTTTCTGTCCTGGGCTCTACCAACTCTATGTGTCACCCCTGGATTTCCATCCAGGTCCCCCCCCCCAGTCAGTGCCAGTCCCCCCCACCTTGGCCCAAGCAGGATCCTGTCTTATGTGTTCTGAGAGGCAGTGGGCCATACCAGCTGACCAGGGCAAGAGCCAAGCCTTCTTCACTTGCCATTCTGTGTCTACTACACCCAAGCACAGCTGTCCTAGTAGTATATTGTGAGATGATCATAAGGCCCAGCCTGCCTTCTCAGCATTTGAGCCACCCCAGCCACCCCAGGGCAGCCTGCACCACTCCTTCACAGGTGCTCTTCTGACCTAGTGCCTGCCCAGATACTTGTCACCGTCACCAGCATTTTCTAAGCAGGACTATGAATAAGGCCCAGCACAGCTATGAAGACCCCCTTCCCACCTCCAAAAGTAAGCATTGCTGTTTGTGGGCTCCTCCCATGTGTGTTAAGCCTCCTTGACCCGGGAGCAGTGTGGATCCTGGGGAGGGCCAGAAAAGAAGTTTGGGTTTCCATAGCCTGCAAATATCCTTGTCTGTTTTAAATACAGTGAAGTTGTTTTATATGAGTGCAATAAAAAACAAGGCTTTATTTAAAATAAACAAACAAATAAATCTAGATGTTCCTCTCTGGGAAATTTATGGAAAACACGGTGACTTGAGCCCCACTACCCTGCCGCCCACCAATGGCTATACACGTGTTCTTATCTTAGGGTGCTAGGGCTGCTTATTGCCCACTTTTCTGTGGTTCCTAGATGACAGATATACTCATTTGCACACTCAGTGTCCCAGTGTTCACACTAATAGTGCCCTCACCAGCACTCAATCGCAGCTGCTCAGGGAAGCACCAGGGACAGCTTGAGTCTCATCTGCAGTATCACAGGTGCCAGGCTGGTCCCGACAGGCCTATTGAGTCAGCTTTGCCTTGTTAGCACAGTGCTTGTTTGGCGCTGATATAGAACTCTGCCTGGCCACAGGGAAGATTGGCCAGACATTCTTTTGGGACCTGGAGTGTGGCTTGGTGATCGAGCACCTGTCTGGCATACCTAAAGCTCTGTGCTCAGTATCCGGTACTGTAACAAGAAAGAAGTACTTTTGGGCCCTTAGGGTGACACGGAGGACAGATTCCTAGAAAAGGTCTGTGAGCTGACCTATGGGGCCAGCAGTGTTTGGGAAGGTGAAAACGAACCTTCGTGTCTGTGGAATGTGTGTCCTGGCCATGACCAGGCAGAGAGAAACCAGTCCTGGCCTCTGATATCCTGGACGTCCTTTGGGTAAACTGGCATATTTAAAGGTGCTATGTTTCTTCTGTAAAGAACGTGATGGGGTCACCCCCAGGACAGAAGGAGGTTGGAGGAAAGTGAGGTAGAGTTACCAAGACAAGACAGACATGGGGTCTTACGACCTCAACAGGCTTGTGGTTGGGATGTGCTCTGTGTGTCCCTCCTGGGAAGAAGCAGGGCCCCTGCTGTCAGAAGAGGTCCATCCCTCCTAGAAGAAGCAGGGCCCTGCTGTCCTCAGAAGAGGTCCATCCCTCCTAGAAGAAGCAGGGCCCCTGCTGTCCTCAAAGGATGTCCATGACCCACAGGAAGTGAAGAAGCCAGGTTGTCCATATTGAGGGAAGAGTTTAGGGAAATTCAAAGGTCAAGTTAAAAAGCCTGTGGGTGGCTAAAAGCAGGGAGACAGCCAGTGGTTGAGTCACCCTCCTCCCCCAGTTTCCGGGCTGGGTTCACATGGCTCCTGGCAGCAGCAGTGCTGAGCAGTTGGCTAAGGCTGCACATGTGTGTGCCATGGGTAGTCAGATGACAGCCTCTAACCCCTGAACCTATGGATTTAGCATCATTTACTTGTTCTAAAACAAGAGTGAACAATTGCTGTTTCTGGAGGAAGGTTTAAATGAACCACTGCAGAGAAGATGTGGCCAGAACTAGTAGTAGGTGAACAGGGACTTGGGGGAAAAAACTCCACCTCCTCACACACACACAATAAAAAAAACACTGGCTCTGGGATCACACCACTGGGCCAGCTGCTCGAAGAGAAAGCCAAGACACAGGGCTGCCTCATACCTCCAGTGAAGCTGAAGCTACATGGATACAGGGGCCCCTTGTTGAATAAACTGGGGGCAGGAGGAGCTCCCTTTCAGAAATCACTTCTTGCATAGGATTATCACAAGAAGAAAGCACTTAGCCCCACAACAATGTTCACTGAACACAAATGAAACAGTCACAATATGGTCCAGCCCTTGCCATGGCCTAGGCTTGTCTACTTAAAGCAGCCTGTGTGGAGCCACAGCCCAGCTTGAATAGATGGCCACTGGCCCAGGTAAGGGAGCTCACCGGAAAAGGCCCTGGACCTGCAGATAGGAAGTTTCACACTCGCCAAATTAGGAAGAACTGAGACCATTTTCTGTACTGCTGTCCTGCTCCCAGGAGACAGAAAGTCTCAAAGAAGATGCCACACACACACTACAGAATAGCTCATGTATGGGCTGTGACCATTACTGGGAAGTGAGGAGGGAGCTAGCACTGGGATGCTCCCTATGACCCTCAGAGAGGAGGTTATTTCCTCTCCTGCTGGATCCCTAGAGGAGGCAGCTGGGAGTCAGAGGCCCACAAGGCCCCTGTGTTGTTAACATCCTGTACGTACTTGGTTTCAGGTACCTTTGCTGTCCCTGTTTGGCCAGGACTGTAGCCACCAATTCTATGCTGTCTGCCTGGAGCCTAACCCTTGTGTCCCTCCAGTGCCTGGCATGTTCCTGTGCGCTCAGAAAGGAAGAAGAAGAGCGGGTGTCCTGAAACAGCATTTCTAACCTACCACCAAAGTCCCTCCCCTCCCAATGGGAAACGGACAAGTCACAACCACAGGGCCTTACAGGTCCTTGCCAGCCTGAACCCAACAGACTCCAAGGACTTGCTGAAGAGTCCAAGGCCCCTGTCCCTTGGCTACCACCTTGTCACCTAACTCACCTCAGTGGCTTCACGTTAAATGGCCTGCTGCCTGTCACTGCATGCTCTACACAGTTCAGTCACTGCAGCTTTTCTCCTTCTGAGTCATGTCCTTACCTTGGGAGAAAAGGAAGAGGTTTGGTAAAAGGAGGGTCACAGGGTATCAAAGCCTGCAAATGTACAGCCATTGCAGCCCTCTAGTTGCCTCCGAGCATGACCTAAAGCTGGGTGCAGACTTCCTCCCTGCTCACTTGGTTTCCCACCACCCACCTCAGAGCTACCACCATCGATGGAGTCCTGTGCTTTCGGTGGATGGCCTGGGACATGGCAACAGTCTTGGCGCTGCCCCACCTCCTGAGCACATGCTATAGGGCTGGCTACTCAGGCCCCGAATGGAGACCCAACACCATTTCCCCACACTTCAGACTGCTGGGGGCTCTGACCAAACCGATGAGGCGAGCCTGGGGCCAATCAGCTCACTGATTTGTCAGCAAGGCTGTTGGCTTTTAAAACCAGACAGGAAGGAAGGTTGAGGTGGAACCACACACAGGAAGAGCTGAGGAGCTGAGCTGCAGTGACAGTGGGTGAGGAGCGCCTGGGGACTGCAGGATGTGGTGGGTCTGTCACCCCTTGTCCTGGTGTGATCAGTGTGGTAAGCTCTCCTGTTCCCTTCAGAGAAGGTTTCTTCAGCTCTGGACAGAACAAGGCTCCACACTCGGTTGGCCTGCCGCCCAGGAGCGTGCAGATAGAGCCCTCTGGGTACCTGCTTTAGCACCCTGGAGCAGCAACAAAGGCTGGGAGGTAAGTAGAGCCCAGAGCACATCAGTGCAGGAGCCGGGCAGGAGGGGGAACGGCTGGTAGGAGCAACAGGGGCTCTCAAGGCCTGAACTGTTCTGGGCATGGGAGACTCCAGAGTGCTGACCCCCTGGATGCTGGGAGCTGCTGGGGCTGGATGCTTCGTGTAGAATGAACTCACATGTGCCCTAGGATAATGGTCTAGGACAGGTTCTAGGGGAGAAAGCCCAGATCCCCTGTCTTGGTGGTGGCATGGGAGGAGGAGGATGCACTGCAGGTTGCCACAAGTGAGCAGCAATACTGTTGGAACCCTGCCCCTCCTGGGCTGCACATCCCAAGTAGGTGACCCTCTTCTTGGTGTTCAATTCCCATCTGTAAGCGGAGTAACAACGCCAGCACCTGCCCCAAAGCTCAAGGAGGTGGTATACATAGCTCCCATAAGTACCCCCCACACACACACCAGGGCCACTCCTAGCCACACCCTGTGGGTAGTTGAAACTTGTTGTGAGACTGGTAACCATGGGAGACCTTCTGTAAGAGGTGCTGCTGTGGGGCCAGCTGCATATTGGGCATGGGGAGTGTTAGCTATAGTATCCACCCCATGGGCAGGCTCCTAGACCTGTCTCTTCAATCCTGACACTAGAAACTTACCTCAGCCACCCCACAAAGGCTGTATCTACTCCCATGCTGGAACTCCAGGACAGCGAAAGTAACTGTCTCCTTAGGAGGCCAGGGGCTACTTCCTCCATCAGGGTGCTGATCTCAGGAGCTAGATAGTTGCCATGGTGCTAGGTCAGGCCTTGGGAACTGGATGAGGGTGAGGGGTTGGTAATACAGAGAGGCTAAGGTACTGTGGGTACTGTGGCCAGAGAGCTGAGCATCCCAGGTGGCAGCCATTACAGTAATCCCCACCAGGTTTCCAAGCCAAGGGAGGCAGGGCAGCCATCTGGAAGGGAATCAGCAGGCCCGGGCCAGGACTGCAACCCTGGGAGAGAAGCATGAAACAGGATAGGCTCCACCAGACATAATGTTCTGTTAGAGCCAAGAAGCAATAACCCAGGCCTCCCAAAGCATGGCTTCCTCATCCTGTTGGTCAGTAGTGCAATAAGGTAGCATCTGTGGGTGTCTGGTTACAGTAAGCAGTGTCTAGCCCTGGTCCATGCCCTGACAGCACCCCACATGAAAGCATGGCAGTGCTCCCTAGTACCCTGGCCTTTGACATGGGCAGGATGACAATGCATCACTTCATTTGGTCCAACTACCTGTGTGTGTAAGTGTGTGTGTGTGTGTGTGTGTGTGTGTGTGTGTGAGAGAGAGAGAGAGAGAGAGAGAGAGAGAGAGGGGTACATTTATATTTTTACACGGTTGCCAACTTCAATTTTAAAAGTCAAGATATACTTTACACAAAGGAAAGTGAGCTCAATGGCTCGGTGTATATGTTTATATCACCACTCAGATTAATGGGTAGAAACTGGTACCTAAGACATATGTTAGGCCCCCTCTCAGGCAGAAGCAATCACCACAAGAGTGATTATTTTAGCATCTATCCTTCCAGATTGGTTTGGCCTGGTTTTAAGCTCTCTAGAATGGAATTCCAGAGCATATTCTTTTGTGGCAAGCTGTGAGGTCATCTGTGTGAGGCTGGATGAGCAGTTTGTGCCTTCTCATCTTCCTCAAGTTTCCCATGCTATTGTTGATGGATGTTGGTTGAGTTTTACTACTTTAAATAATTATGAATAAAGCTGCCGAAACCATCCTAGTACCTGTGTGCTGGTGGAAATAAGTGCCTAGGAACCTAGGTCTCTCTAGCAGGTATTTTCTCATCTCCTCCATTGACGTTCTACAGGGTTAGTGTAGAAGCTGCAGACTTTTTGCTAAATTCATTCCCAGTATTTGATTTTCATGATATCTTAACTTATCAGGTTTGATTTGGTTGTTGCTAGTAAGTAGAGATAGAATTGATTGTTTGTGAGCACTGGCTCTGTGTCTGGAACCTTGTCAAGCTCATACACCATCTCTAAATTGTTTGTTTATAAATTGTTTTGAATTTTCTGTGTATACAATCAAACTGTAAATGATGAGACATATTTTCATCATTGTGATACTTTATTCTGTATGTGCATGTCCAATCTGTCATCTCAATTTTAATTTGATATTATATTGTTTAATGTTATACAATATATTATTATTATGTATATGTTGTGTTGTATGCACTCACATTTGTATAGCATTGCTTGCATATGGAGATCAGAGAACAATTTTCAGGAGTAGGTTCTCTCCTTTGATCTAGGGATAGAACTCTGGTTGTCATGTTTGTGCAGCAAGCACTTTTTATGTTTTGGTATTTCAGACAGGGTTTCTCTGTGTAGCTTTGGAGCCTGTCCTGGAACTCACTCAATAAACCAGGCTGGCCTCGAACTCACAGAGATCCACCTGCCTCTGCCTCCCGAGTGCTGGGATTAAGGTCATGTGCCAACACCATCTGGCTAATTTTTAATTTTCAAAGTAACATAATTTTTAAATGTATGTGCACATATGTGTCTGAGTGTATGTATGCACATGTACTTGCAAGTGCCTGTAGATGTCCAGAGAGGGGAAATGGATTCCTTGGAGCTGTAGTTACAGTGGCTATGAGCCACTTGATGTGGGTGCTGGGAACTGAACTGGGCTCTTGTGCAAGAGCAGCAAACACTCTTAACCACCGAACTTCTCTCCAGCCCCTGCATTCTGTACTTCAACTTTTTCAACATAAAAATGTAGTGTAGATCTGAAGCTTTAGCTCAGGTCTTTGCCTGCCATGATCAAGACTCTAACTTAACTCCCCGCCACCACAAAAAGGACTGGCATTTAAATACACTCAAAATTATGCATTTGCATAAATTATACATTAAAATATGGTGTTTTAAAAGTTTATGACATTAGGCAGACAGTGTTTGAGACAGGGTTTAATCCCAGCACACAGGAGGCAGGGGGATCTCTGTATTCTAGGCCAGCTTGGTCTACAGAGTGAGTTCCAGGACAGGCTCCAAAGCTACACAGAGAAACCCTGTCTCAAAAACAACAACAACAACAAGAAACCCTTTATGACATTAAGAGATAAAAAGTACACTGTGAAGCCTGTCATGGCAGCACACATCTTTAAATCCCAGCACTAAGGAGGCAGAAGCATGCAGATCTCTGTGACTTGGAGGCCAACCTGGTCTATATAATGAGTTCTAGGACAGCCATGGTTATATAATAAGACCCTGTCTCAAAATAAAGACTACACTGTGTGCATTATTCTAGTTTGACACATTGTTAGCCTTACTTTACTCTACTTACAGTATTTTGAATTTATGTTTATCAATCTATTGTTGGATAGAAATTAGTGTTTTGCCCTTCACCTTCTTCCTGTTGTGAATGTTTTATGAGCATTCTTGTGGTTGTATCTTTGAGTATCTGTCTAATTATTTATTTATGATAAATTCCCACAAGCGGGGGCTAGGGAGATGGCTTAGTGAGAGCAAGAGCATTTGAGAACATGAGTTCAAATTCTCAGCACCCAATTAAAAAGCTAGGTGTGGCTGTGCTTACCTAACCCAGTGCTGTGCTGGATGGAGAAGGAGATGTCTGGGGCTGGCTGGCCACCAGCTTAGTTCCAGATTCGATGAGAAACCATGTGTCAAAGGGATAAGGAGAAGATTGAGCAGGACATCTGATGTCTTTCTTTGATCTCCACACATGTACAGGCATTTATACTCATACATGTTTGTGCATACACCACATACATAACACACACACACAAAGTTTAATTCCCATAAGTAGAATTTGTGTGGACAAATTAAAATCTATAGTTTGGGCTGGGGATGTGGTCACCATGGTAATGCTTGTCTATCATGGACAAGGGGACCCACCTCAGCATCACAAAAAAAATAAAAACAAAAAAACATCATTTTTATATGGAATTGTGTTTCTATCACCAATGTGTTAAGATTTTTTGGGGCTGGAGAGGTGGCTTATCAGCTAAGAGTATTTGCTGTTCTTGCAGAGGACTCAAGATTTGCTTCCAGCACCCACACAGGGATGACTCACATCCATTCATAACTCCAGTTCCAGGGCACATGACAGCCTCTTCTGGCCTCCACATGTGTGGCACACACATGGTGGTCAATCATGCAGGAAAATACTCATAACACTTAAAATAAAAATAAATACATCTTAAGAAAAAGATTCCTAATACTGCCATATTCTTGTCAGGAACATGTTATGGGTTCATATTTGCCAGTTAGATGAAACTAATAGTTCAGGGTTTTTCTTTCATGATCCACAGATTGTTTCTTTTCAACATCTTAGTCACATATTTCTATGAATTATACCATTCATTTTTATATTTATTTTTATTGATTTTTTTTTTTTTGAGACAAGGTTTCTCTATGTAGCTCTGGCTATTCTGGAACTCACTTGCATCTGCCTCCTGAGTGCTGGGATTAAAGGTGCGAGCCACCATAGTCTGTTTGTTTATTTTTAAAGATTTATTTGGGGGGCTGGAGACATGGCTCAGTGGTTAAGGGTATTGGCTGCTCTTCTAGAGGATTCTACCTAATACCCACATAGCAGTTCAAAGCCACCAGTAACTCTAGTTACAGGGGATCTGAAGCTTGCTAATGGTCTCCATGCACATATGCAGGCAAAACACCTATACACATAAAAATACAATTTAAAAATATTATTTTATTTGTATTTATGTGTATATGTCTATGTGAGTATAGGCCATTTGTGCAGGTGACCCCAGTGGCCAGCTGGAGTTACAGACAGCTGTGTGCAGGTGACCCCAGAGGCCAGCTGGGGTTACAGACAGCTGTGTGCAGGTGACCCCAGAGGCCAGCTGGGGTTACAGACAGCTGTGTGCAGGTGACCCCAGAGGCCAGCTGGGGTTACAGACAGCTGTGTGCAGGTGACCCCAGAGGCCAGCTGGGGTTACAGACAGCTGTGTGCAGGTGACCCCAGAGGCCAGCTGGGATACTGAGAGCTGAACTCATCTTAAGCACTGAACAAGCCCCGTCTTTTCTTTTGCTTTTGGCTTTGTCTATAATGCTTTTTCATTACTGTCTAATCCTAATTTGTGTCTCTGAGTTTATTCATGTTTGTTTGATGTGTGTGCGCAGGTGCACATGCCTGCATATGAATTACAGAGAACAGAAGTGGACGCTGTGTCCTCCTGATTGCTTTCCTTTTGAGACACTGAGCCGGTTTGGGTACAATGGCTAGCCAGTGGGCTAAGGGATCTGCTTGTCTCTGTGCCAGCACTGAACTTACAGGCAATATCACTACATCCTGGCCTTTACATGGGTGCTGGAAACCTGAACTCAGGTCCTTATGCTTGGGCAGCAAGCACTTTATGCCCTGAGCCCCCTCCCCAGACCTTTACCCTTCTACTTTAGGCAGCAGTCTCCCAGAGGTCAGAGAAGCCTCCGTGGCTAAAGCATCCCTCCACTCCACCACACAGCCAGCCAACTCTTGGCACCCTGTTGAGATGTCACTCGTCATCTTAGAAGCCCCTCTTCCTTCTCCTTTATTATCATTATCCCACTTCTCCTTTCCCACGAAAGAAGGACTTTGCCCAAGTTTTTTACTTTCATATTCCCTGTGTCTACAACACATAAGACACTGTCAGTCAATGTTTCTTGGTAGCACATGCCTGTAATTTCAGCACTTGGAAGGGTGAGGCAGGAGAATGACCTGAGTTTCAGGCAAGTCTGGGCTACAAAGCAAGAACTAGGCCAGCCAGGGCCACACTCTAAGACATCTCATAAACAAACAAACATGCAAAAAGTTTCAGTTAGAGGCTGGGGAGAAGTTTCAGAGGGCAAAGACACTTGCTGAACAAGCACAGGGACCCAAGTTCAAATCCTTAGCACACATGTAACAGCTGGCCATGGCCATGTGTGTCTATATTCCCAGTACTGCAGTGGGCAGAGACAGGAGGGTCTCTGGAGCTTTCTGATTGCCAGCACAGGTCCAGGTTGTGTTAATGGAATGATGCAGAATGTGGTACAGCAAGACAAATGATACCCTCCCTTGGCCTCTCTGTGTGTGCACTATCACACACACCTGGGAGCATACCACACATACACCATCCCACACATTCACATACAGACTTTAAAGTTTTACTGGTTGAATAAATGGATGAATAAAAAAAATTTTATAGCAGGGCGGTGGTGGCACACACCTTTAATCCCAGCACTTAGGAGGCAGAGGCAGGCGGATCTCTGAGTTTGAAACCAGCCTGGTCTACAGAGCGAGTTCCAGGACAGCCTCTAAAGCCACAGAGAAACTCCCAAAAGACATTTCTCTATTTTTTTTAATACCAGGTCTTGCTACATAGTTTGGGGTCTCCTCAAATTTGTATTCCTCCTGGCCCTGCCTCCAAAGTGCCAGGATTAAAGTCATTTGCCACCATGCCCAGTGACCAGGTTTTTGAACCATTGATCCAGAAGCAGGAACACAGTCCAGGTGCTGGGAGCAGTGAGGCCTTGGTTTCCAGCTCAGGTCCCATTGCTTCCCAGCCACATGTCCTTGGGAGTCACCTGACCTCACTGCTCTGGTGAGGCTCATCCTGATAAGTAAATTAAATGATTCAAACACGGAGCTCAACAGGATGTGTGGGATGTAGTATGCCTTTGGGAAACACCATGCAACGTTAGCTGAATGGTGATAGGGATGGGGAGTTGTCCCCAAGAAGAAAAAAACTTAACTAGAAATCTGTCCAAATATTATACCCAATAGTTCTACACAGAGCTACTCCTGGTGCACACACAGTACAACAAGGCTGCTAGCCTGCACTGCTTCAGGGAAAAGGTGACTGGCTGCCAAACTGTTCAAAGTGAGTAACAATTCAGAAATAAAAAGATGAAATTATGAGGCTGGAGAGATGGCTGCTCATCTAGGGGTCTTGAGTTCAATTCCCAGCAACCACATGGTGGCTCACAACCATCTGAAATCTGATGCCCTCTTCTGGCCTGCAGATCCAGCACTCATATACATAAAATAAATATTTTTTTTTAAGTACAAACTATCCTTACATCAAACCAAAGTTTGGTCCCAACGGTCTACAGTGCCAGCTCCAGCAGATCTGACACCCTCTTCTGGCCTCTGTGGATACACACACACATGTGTACAAACCTACAGAGACATGAACATACATATAAACAAAATATGCATCTTATTTTAAAATATAAAATTATTCCTACCGAGAAAAATTTGTTTTTAACTATTTTCTCACATATTGCATCTCATCTGGTTCCCCCCCTCTCCTCTCCCCAGTTTCTCCCCCCTACTTCCCCTTTCCCCCGCCAGTCCCCCTCTTCTTCCCCTCAGAAAAGAGCAGGTCTCCCAGAGACTTCCACACCCACCAAACAACGATACAATCTACAATAAGACGAGGCACATACCATCACTTCAAGGCTGGATGAAGCAACTGGTAGGAGAAGGGTCATACAAGTAGGCAGAAGAATCAGAGGCAGCCCCCACCCCCTGAAGTTAGCTTGAAGAAAACGAACAGAAGAGTGATGAATCAACAAAAATGCATAGTTCATTGAAATATGATGAAATACAAAATTAGCCTTTTGCACCAACACTATTCAGAATGACAACACTATTTTATTATTATTATCATTATGATTTTATTTTATCTCATATGTTTGGGTGTTTTGCCTGAATGTGCATCTGTGTTCCACTTTCATGCCTGATGCTTACAGAGGCCAGAAGAGAATATTCCCCTTGGAAATGGAGTCACAGATGGCTGTGAGCCACCATGTTGGTGCTGGGAATTAAACCCTGGTCCTCTGGAAGAGGAGCCAGTACTCTTAACCACTGAGCCACCTCTCCAGGTCAACAAGGTGCAAGTAAGAAGCTGTAGATGAGAAAAAAAAATCAGGTTTACTAGATAATCTATAAACGGATAGGTAAATATGAGCACAAACGGAAACATGCCACAGCATCATTCATCATCTCACTTGCTTTCCCCTTTGGTCCGAACATTTCAAAAATGAAAAGAGAAAAGCCAGCATGATTTCAAAGGAGTTAGAGTGGCCTCACCGCTCTCAGCATTCCCAGGTTAGTCCAGCCCATTAAACTTAAACCTTAAATGTGTTGCCTTTATTGATGCTTCCACACGGCTATGAACAGAAAGGTTGTTTTTCTTACTGCTAAACTTCAGCATTTTCTGTATGAAAATTTTTGTGCCAAGTTAAACTGACAGCAATCCCCAATGCAGTTTCAAAACCAGGGGTCCAGGGATAGCAGCAACCTCCTCTTCAGTTAACCAATCACTGAGCCAGAGAACCCAGGGCGGCCAGGACTTGCCAGATTCTTGGCAGTGATGACTGCTGGGGCAGTCTTAAACAGGGAAGCTGCTTGCAGAAATGGACCATGACCTCTGCTAACCCCTCTCCCTATTTTTTTCTCTTCTAGAACTGTCAACAATGAGTGACTTATCTCTACCTACAAGTCCATAAGAGACTGCTGTGACCCCTGTGCCTGATGAGGAGGGACATAAATGGGATGGGCTGTAGGAGAGCTTCAGAGAGGCCGCAGCTTTGGCGAAAGGGTGTGAGCAGGTGGGATGTACGGTGGCTTTAGCTCTTGCCATCTCTGTATCTCGGTCCTCAGCAGAAATAGTACTTCCAGCAGCCCAGAGCTCCTGAGCTTCCAGGAAGGCCAGGAAAGCTAAGACAGTGTTAGACCCAAAGTTCGGGGTCTAAAGATGCAGGTGGGCAAGCCCCTCAACTCAATGGCCAGTCCAGGAGATGCAATCAGCAAGAGGCTTTTATTGAGCAAATGTGTAATCCGCAATCAGGTAGGCATCAGCGTTCTCCTGGGAACTCCAGGGAAGGCTGGTGCCCAACAAAGTATCAAGGCTCCTTTTATAGGGCAAAACCACAAATTAGCATAGATACATTAGGCATAACATGATTGGCTATATTGACATTCTTTCATTAGCATAAGGTCAAATTGGGGTAAGGTTAAACTGGGGTAAGGGTTGTTTATGTTCCAAGAAAAACCACAAAATGTTTTTGGCCGGGTGTTGATCCATCTGGGGGTTATTTATTTAAGGTCTTTCAACAGGTCACTGTGCTATTGCTCTGAGAGCCATCTGCCTTCCCTTCCCTCTCCTTCTTCCCTTTCCTTTTTGACAAATTAAAACACTACTGTCTAGGCTTAGAGAAGAATGATGGTTAAGTATGGAGTTCCCACACACTTCTGTCTGCCCCACTAGACTCTGCTATCAGCATATAACAAGGCTACATTTGTTATAGCGAGGGATCTTGGGTGCTTAGCTGAAGCAATGTGATCACAGAAGTCCAGTGTACATGTATGCATGCCTGCTTGCATGCATACAGTGACACCCAGCTGGTAGAGGGCCATGATTACAGTGTCACACAGAGCAGTGTCACTGCCTACATATCCTCAACCCTGACACCCACCAACCTCACCACTGTTTTCCTGTCTCCAGTCTCTGCCTTTCCCAGGGTGTTAGCTGGATGCGATCATGCCCTGTTTCCTTTCTACATAGGCTACTTCACTCCTCCCTCCTTTGGGTCTCCTTGCTCATAACAGCATCACCATTGCCAGGTCACAAATGAGAAATCCAAGGTATAGAGAGGTGACACAGCCTGCCCACGGCCACCCAGTTAGGAAGTGGCAGAGCCAGAGTCCAAGTTCAGAACGCCAAGCCCGTTCCCTTGGCTCCTGCATCTTTGTGATTGTTTTCATGGGCCAAGAAACAACAGAGGCCTATATCTTCACAGCCCCTGGCTGCAGTCACTGACTCCATGAGGAAGCAGGAGGCGAGGACAGACAGAGAAACATGCCTGGCCTACAATGTTGGATCCCCAGCTGAGCAGGTGAAGGCCCTTGTGGATCTGCTGACCAGGAAGGGTGGTGGGCTACTGCAGGCCCCTGACAAAATGCCAGACTCCCCCCTGGGATCCCAAAGCAACGGTAAGTCTCCCCGTGGTGGGGCAGGGGGTACCTGAACCCTCTCACTTCGCCCTGGGACCTTACCTGTTTTGCCCTGTGTCCTGCAGACTCAAGGATACGGAGGTACTGTGAGGCCCTGCTGAGCAGGGTGGGGAATGACCCAGAACCGAGCAGCCCCTCACATAGGCTGGCCAGCCTCCTGCTGGTAGAGGGCCTGACAGACCTGCAGCTAAGGGAGCATGACTTCACACAGGTAGAAGCCACACGTGGGGTCTGGCACTCTGCCAGGGCCATCACCCTGGATAGGCTCTTCCTGCCTCTGTCCCGGGTGTCCATCCCACCTCGCATCTCTGTCACCATTGGAGTGGCTGGCATTGGCAAGACTACTCTGGTGAGGCACTTTGTTCATTGCTGGGCCAGGGGACAAGTGGGCAAGAACTTCTCATTGGTGCTGCCCCTGACCTTTCGGGATCTTAACACCTATGAGAAGCTGTCTGCCGACAAACTCATCCACTCCATCTTCCCAAACACTGGTGAAGGTAATCTGGTGGCAACAGCCCCAGACCGAGTCCTCCTGGTCCTAGATGGCTTGGACGAGTGTAAGACACCCCTGGAGTTCTCCAATACCATGGCCTGCACAGACCCAAAGAAGGAGATCCAGGTAGACCACCTGATCACTAACATCATCAGAGGCAACCTCTTTCCAGACATTTCCGTCTGGATCACCTCCCGTCCCAGTGCTGCTGGTCAGGTCCCTGGGGGTCTAGTGGACCGAATGACTGAGATTCGGGGTCTTACTGAGGAAGAGATAAAAGTGTGTCTGGAGCAGATATTTCCTGAGGACCAGAATCTCTTAGGCCAAGTGTTGAGTCAAGTGAGGGCCAACAGGGCTCTGTATCTGATGTGCACTGTGCCAGCCTTTTGTAGGCTCATGGGGCTGGCACTGGGTCACTTGTACCACAGCAAGCTGGCTGTCCAAGACACTGAGCTGCCGCTGCCTCAGACCCTGTGTGAGCTCTACTCTTGGTATTTTAGGATGGCCCTAAGTGGGGAGGGGCAGGACAAGGGAAAGATAAGTTCTAGGATTGAGCAGGTGGCCCAGGGAGCCCGCAAAATGATGGGGACATTGGGCCGCCTGGCTTTCCATGGGCTGGTCAAGAAGAAATACGTGTTTTATGAGCAAGACATGAAGGCATTTGGCGTGGACCTGGCTTTGTTGCAGAGTGCTCTGTGTAGCTGGCTTCTGCAACGGGAAGAGACTCTGGCCTCCTCAGCAGCTTATTGCTTTACTCACTTATCTCTGCAAGAATTTGTGGCAGCCACATATTACTACAGTGCATCCAAGAGAGCCATCTTTGACCTCTTCACTGAGAGTGGTATGTCTTGGCCCAGGCTTGGTTTTCTTACACATTTCAGGTGTGCAGCCCAGAGGGCCACACAAGCTAAGGATGGGAGGCTGGACGTGTTCCTGCGCTTCCTCTCTGGCCTCCTATCTCCAAGGGTTAATACTCTGCTGGCTGGCTCCCTGCTGGCCCAAGGCGAGCATCAGAATTATCGAGCCCAGGCAGCTGAGGTCCTACAAGGCTTGCTACGTCCTGACACTGCAGTTTGTGCACGTGCTATCAATGTCTTGTACTGCCTGCATGAGCTGCAGCACACAGAACTGGCCTGCAGTGTGGAGGAGGCCATGCAGAGTGGCACCTTGGCTGGGTTGACTGGCCCCTCACATCGCACTGCTCTGGCCTACCTCCTGCAGCTGTCTGATATCTGCTCCCAGGAGGCCAACTTATCCCTGTGCCTGAGCCAGAGTGTCCTCCAGAGCCTGCTTCCACAGCTGCTTTATTGCCAGAGCCTCAGGTGAGTATGGGGTCCATGCAGGGGGTAAGGGTACAGGAGAAAGACTCAAGATGGTCTCTTGTTTCATCATGCCCCCTTCCCTGTAGTCTGCTGTAACAGCAAGATTAGAATTTCAACATGGAAATACAATCCAATTCATGAAACCCTCTGAGAGCCAGGTATTGAGACTCATACCTGTAATCCTAGCAATCAAGAAGACTGCAGAGTTTTGGGACAGCCTAGGCTACATAGCAAGATTATATATGTATATGTATTATATATATGTGTGTGTGTGTGTGTGTGAGTGTATACACTCACATATGTATGTATGCATTATATACACACACATTATGTACATACACATACATACATATATACACACACACAAAGCCAGTCAGTGTTCACAGAAGCTACACCCTCAGCCATACTCTGAACTTAGCAAACAAAAAGAAAAAAATGTAGGACACAGGTCAGTCAAGACCTGAGAGTGGTTTTGGCATCCTCAGAAGCAAAGCTAGCCAACACTCTGTAAGATGCCACTTAGAAAGAACAGCACAGCTCACAGGAACCACCTGAGTTACTCCCACAGGGAAGTCTGAGCATTGTGAGTCTGGAGCTCCAAGCTGAGACAGTGGACCACAGCAGGAATGAGAGGTGGTGGAGGCCCCACCCTGCTCATGGGCTGCAAGACTACTCATTGTCACGGCTTCCCCTGGCCAGGCTGGACAACAACCAGTTCCAGGATCCTGTGATGGAATTGCTGGGCAGTGTGCTGAGTGGGAAGGACTGTCGCATTCAAAACATCAGGTAACACAGCCACTGTGTACTGACCTGTCACATGGGATGGGGGGTCTCTTCCCACTCTACTCAGCTAACCAAGGCACCCCAGGAACATGCATCTTTTCAGGGTGTGGCTCAGGATGCAGTCTGTTCTTCTAGAAAGTTCCAAAGGCTCAGGCACCTGGTCTATAGGAAAAGGGAAGTGATGGATAAGGCTCAGATTCTGTCCTGGACTTGGAGATGTGCTCCAGTGCTCACGTATTGCCCTGGCCCAGGCATTATCTTCGTGATGCCAGGATTACATCTTAAACTAAAATATTTAAAAGTTTAATTTAAATACAATTTAAGGTGAATTTTAAAAATGTTATTAGATTTATGTGTCTGAATACTTTGCTTCTTACATGTGTATATGTGCCATGGCTTGCTTTTTGTGTCCACAGATGTCAGAAGACAGTGTCAGATCCCCTGGAATGAGAATTATGGATGGTTGTGAGTCACCATGTGGGTGCTGGGAATTGAACCCAGGTCCTCTGCTAGGAACAAGTGCTCTTGACAGCTGAGCTTTCTCTCCAGCCTCATTTTTTTTTTTTTTGTTTGGACACAGGGTCTTGTGTAGTTCAGATTTGCCTCAAACTCCTGAGTGCTGGGATTGCAGCAATGTGCCATTATACCCAGGTTATGCCATTTTGGGGATGGAGCCCATGGTGTCAGGCATGCTAGGCAAGCCCTTTCCCTACTTGAGCTACATCCTCAGTCCTATTCTCCAAAACTTAAGTAATGTACATGCCTCTAATCCCAGCACTCTAGAGGCTGAAAAAGGAGGATTGCCTGGGCTACACACAGTGAGATCCTATCTCAAATAAAACCATTATTTATATTAGAGAAAAGTCTGTATGCTGACTTCATATGAGATGTCTACACTTGATGTAAGTAACCCTTGGTTTGTAGGGTGTGATGTCAGGAAGGTCTGTAGAACTCTGAAGTCATTTGGAATGTAGGATTAGGAATGAGGCGTAGTGAGCGCTTTGCTTGGTTAATGAAATATAAGCTCTTTTGAAAGAAAAATGATCTTGCCAACTTCTCATTGTCAGTGTTTTGTCTTTCACAGGCAGGCCTTTTAGCACATGACAAAATAATTTAGTTTTGCTTACAATGGGGCTCAAAAAATGATCTTGAAGAAAGTCATACATCTCTTGTGTGCTCACAAGTATTTTCTCTCTGGTTCTCAGTGACTCTTGTTTACAATGTCCAAGCCTGCCAAAAACACATAAGGCTGCTTGTGAGATATTATTTATATGACATTATATAAATTCTGTGGCAGCAAAAGTGGGCTGGTCTTCAAATATTTTGATGATGGAGGGCAGGGAAACAAGATCGCCTGTAATGCAGATTGGCCTTGAACTCAAGATCCCCAATCTTCCAAGTTCTATAACAACAGGTGTGTACCACTACATCTGGCTAGTATTCAAATTTATTTACTTGTATATTTACTTATTTTTGAGGCAGGGTATTACTAGGCAGTCCCAGCTAACCTAGAACTAATGTGTGAAACAGGTTAGCTTCTGACCCACAGATTTCTGCTTGCCTCTGTTTCCCAAGTTTTGGGATTAAAGATGTGCACCACTACACCTGGCTCAAATTTATTTTTAAGCAACAGAACTCATTTGAAAAGTGGTGTGTCAATCAGAGCCCCAATTAATAAAATGGACAATGGGGAGCCTTGACACTTGGCTTTCCTCATCTTCCTGTTGGCCCCTGGTACCAGGATCCCAAAGTGCTCTTGGATTCTAATGGACCACTCTGTCCTATGGGGTGCTGCTTATAAAACCAAAAAGATCTCAAGCACCCACTTCTGACACTGGACACAGGAAGCAACACTGAGTGGACCCACCAGCATGCTCTGGCAACCACCTCTCCAGGCACATGAAGATAAATCTTTTTTAAACTTAATTTTGTGATAGTTCTATCGTTTGCTGTTTTGTACTAGAGAAAGGCTAGGACCAGTGGTGTGTTCAATAGTTTGTACAGGTTTCTGAGTGCTGTGAGTTTCAGGAATTTCACAAGCTGAGGATGCTTGAAATTAGCCATGGTTTGGGGCATTTGCACCATAGAAACCAGCAGCAGTGTTTGGTGTTTTGCTTTTCCTTGAGAGTCACATGAACATTATGCCACCAGATGGGATCTGAATGGAAAAATTTTCTTAATATCAGCAAATCCAATATACACATTTACTGCATTTATTTTATCTGTGCTAGTGCATATATGTAAATGCACAGACCACAGCACACACACATGTGGGGGTCAGAGGACAGTGTGTAAGTAAGTTCTCCCCTTCCATCATTTGGGTTTTGGAAACCAAATTTGGGTTGTCAGCCTTGGTGGTAAGTTCTTTTATGCTCTGAGCCACCTTGCTGGCCCCATATGAAAGACTTCTACCTCTTAAACATGGCTGCACATTTGGAAATTAGCCATGGTTTCCTTGGGACCCTTTGTCAGAGCGAAGGTCATCAAGCCAACTCTAGCTTCCCAGGTCCAGGGTCTTCCTGTTCCTGCTTTTCTGCTTACATTCTCATGGGTGATGCTGGGCAAGCAAGAAGTAATCATGAGCCTAATACCACAGAAGAGGCTATAAGAGGCATGGACTTGAAATAACCACTTTCCCTTTTCTTGGCAGCCTGACTGAGAACCAGATTGGTAACAAAGGGGCCAAAGCTCTGGCCAGATCCCTCCTGGTGAACAGAAGTCTCATCACACTAGAGTAAGTTGGACAGGCCTGTCTATGAAATGTCTTGAGGTCTCCCCATCTTTTCCCCAGCTCCCCAGAGTGGGTCCTGCTGACTACATGTCCTTCTGGCTGACTGGAAGGACAGCTGAGCAAACCAAGCCACCACTTCTTTTGTCTCTTGAACTTTTTCTCACAAAACACTTGATTTTTGGCCCTGACCTATAGCCATTGTTATCATCTCCACACTTGGTCCACTAGACCACCACATCCCCTTCCCTTTCCTCGTCGTGTGGGGCCACTTTGGGGAACTCCCTTATTCACATATACATACATACATGCATGCATGCATACGATCTCTGCCATATATCAAACAGTTCATCCCTTTAAGAATTGTAGACTTACAATGTCAGTGCTATTTTGATTCTTTTGATTCTTCTCCCTACCCCAGTCAACTTTTTTTTTTTTTTTTTTTTTTTTTTTTTTGCTTGCTTTTACCAGCCTCCGGAGTAACACCATTGGACCACAGGGGGCTAAGGCGCTGGCAGATGCTCTGAAGAAAAACCGAACTCTAACCTCACTGAGGTATGTGGCTTCACTCCTGGGCTCAGGAGAGGGCCCAGAAAACAAAACCGCTGTGGAGTGGGAGAGGATTAAAAATGGAAGCTTTGGAATCCAGCGAGCTTCGGCTTTCATATTGCCCTAACTCGAGTGCTTCTGTTAGACTCCAGTTTCTCAGGACAATGAAAAGCCTGCCTTCCAGGAGATGACTGCTTGGGCATGGCTTGCTGTGTCCCTTTTAGGAGCCTGTGGCTGTGTCCATCTAGTTGGGGGTATACTACTGTTCTGGTTTTCTACTTTTATTATTCAAGTGAAAATTTTGTTGTTGTTGTTTTAAAACAGGGTCTGGTTATGTAGCCTTGGCTGGCCTGGAGCTCACTACGTAGACCAGGCTGGTCTTGAACTCAGAGATCCACCTGCCTCTGCTTCCCAAGTATTAAGTGTGTGCACCACCACACCCATAACCAGGTGAAATTTAATAATATAAAATTTGCCATTGTGAAGTATATAGTTCATTGGCATTTGTTTCATTTTATTTTTGGCTTTTTTGAGACATGGTTTCTCTGCGGTTTTGAGATAGCAAGTTCCTGGCTGTCCTGGAACTTTCTCTGTAGACCAGGGTGGTCTTGAACTCAGAGATCTGCCTGCCTCTGCCTCCCCAGTGCTAGGATTAAAGGTGTGCACCAACACCTGGCATTTTTTATATTCACAATGTTGTGCATCCACAACCTCTGTCTAGTTTCAAAATGTTTTTGACTCTTAGTATTTGCTTTTCCTTTTTTTTTTTCTGGACATCTCATGTAAATGGAATTATACAATAAGAACTTTATGTCTGTCTTCCTCAACTAGCACATTTTCAAGATTCATACATAGCATAGCATACTTTTTTGTTGTTATTTTGCATTTAATAGCCGAATAGTACGTCACTGTATGGGTGGAGCAAGTCTGCTTATGCACTCATGCACAGACAGATATTCAGTGGGCTTCTGTCTGAATAATGCTGCTGGCCACGTTTGTGTAGAAATATTCAAGTACCTGTCTTTAATTCTTTGCGGGAATATATCTAGAAATGGAATTGCTAGGTCATGTGCCAAGTCTAGGTTGAGAACTGCCAGACTGTCTTCCACAGAGGTTAGGCCCTTTACATTGTGGTCAATAGTGTAAGGCTTCTAGTTTCTCCACATCTTCATTGATATTTGGGTACTCTGGCTCTTGATTGTGATGAGGACTAATGATGACCTTATTTTAATTGATGTAGATAGCATGGACACCTTGTTCTTAGTTGGCAGGCAGCTACTTAGAGACTCAATACAGGGGGGCTAACAGTCTTTCCTGAGTAGTGGATCACTCGGAGGGCACATAATCATCAGTAAATTCTTTCATGGAAGTCAGCTGATTCTTGTCTAGGGTCTCTAAGGCAAATGTCCCAAATCTAGGCCACTGGTGACACACCTCTTTTTACCTTTGTAGTCTCCAAAGCAATGTGATCAAGGATAATGGTGTCATGTGCATGGCTGAGGCCCTGGCCTCCAACCAGACAATCTCCATACTACAGTGAGTAGACAAACTTATTGCTTCTCTTCTCTCCTCTGAGCTTCTGCCTTGTCCCTGGTAGAGAAAACAGGAGGTGGTCCTGAGGCTTTCTGACCCACCTGTATGGTCCCTGGAAAACATGATGTCACCTGTTTCTCCAGAGAAACTTCTTCACAAAATTATTGAAAATAAACTCCTGCCACCCAGGAAATCATGTCCACAGATATAGAAAAAGAGCATATGGTTCTCTAATCTGACTATAAGGCAGTATCACAGATAACCTGGCAGTGAGGTTGCAAAGATAGAGGTCCCTACAGCCCAGCAGAGGCAACCATCCCATGTGTGCTCCCAAGGCCAACGACAACTTGTCTTCAAGTATGAGGAGCTGGAGATGCCACTTTTCAGCAGCTTGTCCTAGGTGCACCAGCTAGAAAGGTCACAGGTGCTCCTTAGCTGCTTTTGCCCCAGCAAAGTTTCTACAACATTTGTGACAACCTGGTACTTCCCAACTTGGAGCCACGTGTCCAGGCTAATTCCCATAGCAGCAGGGAGATGGGGCACTACCTTGGTGGAAGGTCCTTAGAAAGACCCCAGGGGGTATGATATGGGGACACACATCTTTAATCCCAGCACAGGAAGATCTCTGTGAGTTTGGGGCCAGCCTGGCATAGTGAGTTCAAGGCCAGCCTGATCTACATAAAGAGGCCCTGTCTCAAAAACCCAAACAAACACAGAGAAACACACCCTTGGGCTGTGAAGCCAGAGGCAGGTGATGGAGTTTGCAAGGAGACAGAATACAGATTTACAATCTATAGCTTCCTCAAGAAAATATTCTAGAAAAAGGGAGATGTCTTTTTCCTCTAAAAAAAAAAAAGATGTGTGGACATGTACAGTACAGGTACATTATTTTATGTTTTATTTCTTTATTGTGTGTGTGTACACACATCACATGCCATGGAAGTTAGAGGACAACTGAGTCAGTTTCCTCTTTCCATCACATGGAACCTAGGGATTGACTCTAGTCTCCAGGCTTAGTGGCAAGCACTTTTACCTGCTGAGCCAGGCATCTGTGTCTTTCTTTTAAATGGAAGGTATTTTACACAGGAAAGGTCCTTCTTCATCTATCCTTCTATACCTCTTCCCAGGGAAGTTTCTTCAGGTGGAGGTGGAGTGCCGGCCCAGATAGAAGTATATTTGCTACCTGGCAGACTTGTGTGTGGAGGTCTCACATACAGGAGACTCACCAGCCTCTGCTCCCAGCCTTCCCCTTAATTCTCCCCTTTCAATTGCTGTGTAAATGGAGATAGTACCTTTATGCCCCTGACCTCTCACCCAAAACCCAGACTAGCTTTGGCCTGAGAATGACTGTGGATGGCTTTGTTGATGGACCAATCTCATCTCCACAGACTACAGAAGAACCTAATTGGGCCTACAGGAGCCCAGCGGATGGCAGATGCCCTGAAACTGAACAAGACTCTGAAGGAACTCATGTGAGAAAGGCCAAGGGGCAAAACTGGTATTCTTCACAAGGCCAGCACACCCTACATATTTGTGAATAGAGGAATGGATGGTGGGATAGTTGGATGGATGAAGGGACAAGAAGATGTATGCATGGATGACTGGATGAGTAGGAGGTGATAGATGGTTGGATGGATGGAGGAGTAGATTGATGGGTAAGTAGGTGGATGGATGAGTGGCTAGACTGATGGCTAGATGGAAAGAGGGGTATATAGGAGATTTAGATAAACTGATGGGTGAGTGAATGCAGGTTAGCTGGACAAGGAGAGTTGAAACCCAGCCTCTCAGAACTGGGTGAGCCCCAAATGTCATGGGCTCGTTTACATTATTGCTTCCCTGTTCTCAGAAGGAAACATCATTTCTTGGCCATTTTCATATAAAGTCCCACAAACACCTTGCACGGTTGAACCTTAGTTCTTTCCAAAGAGTTAAGGAAGATAGGGGTTACCTTCAGAGACTACAGATGAACACAGCTCATGCCAAATGAAATGCACTGGACACCCTTGAGACATAGGTGGTCTTCCCTGAGCTCTAAGCCCTGGACCCAGCCCACCACCATCTGTCTCTTGCAGGTTTTCCAGTAATACCATTGGGGATAGAGGTGCCATGGCTCTGGCTGAGGCCCTGAAGGTGAACCAGGGCCTGGAGAACCTAGAGTGAGTCTGCTGTAGAACCCCCCCCCCCATGGATGATATTTTACCATGGCAGAATCCATTTCCATAAGAGAACCCTACCAACCCTCACCCTGACAGTGCTGCTTCTGTCTCTCCAGCCACCTTTTGTCCTATTCTACCTACCAGCTCCACTTCTTTGCAGGTTTTAGAATAACATGGTCAATGCCTTGCCATAAGCAAGCACCCGTGGCTGAAGAAAAACCTTGAAAGATGGGCAAGGGTGGGCTGGACACTGCCACCATAGTAGAGTGGTTTTGCTGCATCACTTTCTCTGGAGCACTTCCTTGAGGATGTGTGCAGCCCCCAAGTCAAGGCAGTTTAAGCCTCAGGGCTTATGCTAAACCACATTGCCTTTACCTGGAAGGAGCTAGAAAGAGTGATGGGAGGGGAAAGAGGGATGAGGAGGGAAATTCCCAACTCCCCAATTCTCTTGTTGAACCCAGGGGGTTCTGGGACAGGCACATCAGCAGTGTTTTGTCCTTTATGTGTAGCCTACAGAGCAATGCTATCAGTAACACTGGAGCGGCAGTGTTGATGCGAGCCCTCTGTGTTAACCAGAAACTCTCCAGTCTCAAGTAAGTCCTGACCCCCAACCCTCATAACCAGGGTGTTGCCCTTTTGACCAGTGGGAATACAGGGCCTTTGGGACTTGGGGGAAAAAAGGCTGGGACTGAGAAAACTACTTGTAGAAAAATCTGTAGTTGGTATGGTCTTGGTCCTACCCCTTTCCCTACTTTGTGAGTGTGGCCCCAGTGGGAAGCTCCCTTCTACATACAAGCCCTTCAGGAGCCACTCACCCATCATAACCCAGGCCTTGTCCTTTTCCTCCTGTGTATTCCTACACTGGTTGTAGTCCTGGGTGGGACACTGACTAGAGCCCTGGCTGGCTACAACAGGCTCTTTCACATTTCAGCCCAGATGGCCCAGGAAGCCCATGGCCTGTCTGTGGTTTCTTGTGGTCTGGGCAGCCTAGACATCTGGGCTTGCTGTGTCAGAAGCCTCACTTGCATGATTGGATGTTCAGAGTCTCATCTTTCCTCAGCCTACGAGAAAACTCCATCAGCCCAGAGGGAGCCCAGGCCCTCGTTCAAGCTCTCTGCATGAACAACACTCTAAAGCACTTGGAGTATGTAATAGTTGGGTCTGGAGGGATGGAGGTCAAAGGGAGATTGTGCTTCCTCACCTAATCAGACACCAGGGTTGGTGGCCACCATAATGATGGGTTAGACCCTTGGAATCTTCACAGTTCACAAGGTTGGACTAGGGCAGCTAGGAGACCTGATACCTACTGGCAACCCTGACACAAGAACTTTCCAGCCTTGTGCCTGGAGAAGACAAGCACATGAGAGAGGTCCCTAAGAGTTGGCATGGGGCCATGCCAATAGGCAGTAAATCCTGTTCACAGGGCTGTACTCTGGTCGCATGGCCTGTGACCACTCAAAGTTAAACATGGGATAGTCTCTAGTGTGCTTGGCACACCAGAGTTCTCCATAAGCATGAGCTACACAAGCCTAACATCAGTGTGTCCCTTGGAAGGATGTGGAATGACTGGGATCCCCTAGTGACCAGAATGGGGGGTTTCACAGTGGCTCCTACTTGCTCTTGTTCCTTTTTTCCAAGTCTGACAGCCAACCTCCTCCATGACCAAGGTGCCCAGGCCATTGCAGTAGCAGTAGGAGAAAACCAATGTCTCACACACCTTCAGTAAGTCTACTATCCCTACCCCTCCCCAATCTCCATTCTCCCAGTTTCGGAGCTACCCACAAACCAACTGTGGAAGATGGAGTCTGATTTGGGCCATGCCTGAAGTCTTCTCAGGCTACCTGCCTCCAGCAAGTATACCCCATCCTGGGTTTGGATTCCTGAGGTTATGCTCAAATCTAGATTATGAGGCAAGTGTCATGGCTGTCACTTGGCATGATGTATGCTTTATGGAGAATATTTGAGCTTGCTCACATGGCTACCACTAGTAAACACTAGTCCTCTGGGGACACCATATCCTGCATAGATTCACCCAGCCACCAGACCATCCTGGATGCCTTAGAGTCTCTAGATCCATTCTTGGGCCTTATGGTCATGTGTCTGTGTCTTTATAGCCTGCAGTGGAACTTCATCCAGGCTGGTGCAGCTAGGGCTCTGGGACAAGCACTCCAGCTGAACAGGACCCTGACAACCTTAGAGTAAGTGTGCCTATAGGAATGAGGGCCAGTTTCCAGGCACAGGGCTGGCCTGATGACCCTCAGCAACAGCCTCCTCTACGTGAGACCACAGAGTAGGGTCAGTCCTCACTGAAACAAGGCATGTGTGCAATAACTTTACTAATATAATCCACACACAAGAACCAGCTGTGCAACCATCACAGCAACCAATTTTAGAACATTTCCTAACCCCAGAGATGCTGTGTGTTGTAGCTGCTTTCCATTCTCACTTCCATCCTTGCAAAGCATTAGTCATTCTGGACATTTTACATGAGTAAATTCATGTGGTCTTTTGTGATCTATAGCTTGTGTGTGCATATAAATGCCAGAGGTTGAAACTAGGGCCACAAGAATCTTAATCACGTGCTCTATGGCAGAGCTACACCCCAGAAGAGCAGCAGGGTTTTGGGGTTTTTTTTTTTTTGTTTGTTTGTTTTTTGTTTTTTCCTGGTAACATGTTGGTACTTTCTTTTTTGTCTTAAAGAAGTGTGTGTGCATGTGTGTATGCACTTGCCTTGGCATATGTGTGGAGGTCAGAGGACACCTTCCAAGGGCTGGTTCTCTCCTTCCACTCTGAGTTTCAAGGATCACACTCAGGTCATTAGGGTTGGTGGCAAGCACCTTACCTTCTGAGCTCTTACTAACCCCAAACTTGTCCCTTTTTAAAAATTTTTGTGTGTGCACATATGTGAGTGCATGTACTAATGTGTGATAGTGAGGGTGTACACACGCCATGGCGTATATATGGAGGTAAGTGGATCTCCCCAGGTGCCTTCCACCTTGTCTGAGCACCGCCTTGCTGTGTATGCCAGGCTTGCACTCTCCCTGCAGGAGAGCTGCGGTTACAGTGATACTGCAGCCAACTTTGGGGGCAACTTACTCAGCTCCCTCTGCTTATGAGTTAAGCACTTAAGCTAGAGTCACCTCCCCAGCCTGGAGCACAGCCTTTTGAACTTTCTTGGCATCACAGTGCGGTTTTCTCCTTCTGTCAGTCCATCACTTCACCAGCTTCTGCTTCTCCCTCTTTCCTGTTGTTTTCCTCCTAGAGACTGGAGCTCCTCAGAGTTCTGCCCTTGAGCTTCTTGCCTTGAACTTTTCTGGGAGCTCTTCCTCTCCCAGGATTCTAGTTTCCAAACTACTGATAACTCCTACATTAGTGATATAGGGTGGTTTTAATGAGAATAGACCCCATAGGCTCATAAATTTGAATACTTGGTGACCTGTTGGTGAAATTCTATGGGAAGGAGGAGGAGGTGTGTCATTGGGGGTGGGCTTTGAGGTTCCAAAAGCCCAAAGCATTCCCGGTGTGCTCTCCCTGCCTTTTGCCTGTGGATCCAGATGTAAGCTCTTAGCTACTGTTCCAGGACCGTGTCTGTCTGGTGCCTGCTGCCATGCTCCCCACCATGAGGGTCAAGGACTCTAACCCTCTGAAACTATAAACCCCAAGTAAACTCTTTCTTCTATAAGTTGCCTTGGTCAAGGTGTCTTATCAGCAACAGGAAAGTAACTGTCTCTTGAACATCAGCCCATATATCCACACCTCTGATGCCTTGTGCCCTCAATGTCTCACAGGTATTGCAAGCTGCTGCATTTTCTTGCCCACAAGCTGGCTTCTTAGTTCTCCATCTGACCCTTGGACCAACCAATTGTGCAGCTGGAGGCACTGCCTCCACTCCCAGCTCATTTCCATGTCCTGTGGGCCCTCTTTTTCACTGCCCACTTCACACGGTTTCCATCAGCTGCCACCATCCAGGCCATATCACCACTCACCTGCCATACTAGGTGACCTCCATCCACATCTAGTCCATCCCTTTAAACAGTTGGCCTGCGATCTTTCTGAAACATCCATCATTCTTCATTATGGGTGAGATCCTTAAATGACCTGCAGAGTTGAGTGTAACCCTAAAACCTGGATTCCAAGGTCCCCAAAGGTCTGCCTCCCTCACACCTCCAGGCTTCAGCCTCATCAATCACTCCATGACTTCAGCAGTCTCCCAGGTTTCTTTAGATGTACCAGCCTTCTTTGTCTCCCATTCCCTGATTCTGGCTTAGTTTATTCCTTCTGGGTACCATACTGGGATAGACACTCTGCTGACCTTTCCGGCAACATAGATCAGGTACATCGATTTGCTCATTTGTAGCTGAGTTCTGAGAGGGCATTAATAAGTTACCCATCTATTGTTGTGATAAAATACTATGACCAAAAGCAAACTTTGGGACTTTGGGAGGAAGAGTTTATTTCACCTTACAGCTTCTAAGTCCATCACTGAGAGAGGCCAGGGCAGGCACTGGAGCAGAGACCCCCAAGGAACGCTGATTATTGGCTCACTCTTCCTAACTTGCTCAGTTTACTTTCTTATGTATCCCAGGACTACCTATCCAAGGTTAGTTCTACCCACAATTCAATGAGCCCTCCTACTTCAATCATCAGAACATAAAACAGCCCACAGGCTTGCCCATCGGCTATTCTTTTTTTTTTTTTTAACTTATATTTTGTTTTTTCAAGACAGGGTTTCTCTGTGTAATAGTCCTGTGTTATAGTCCTGGAACTCACTTTGTAGCCCATGCTGGCCTCAAACAGAGATGCCTATAGGCTAATCTTATGGAGGCATTTTCTCAATTGATGTTCATGGTCTCAGAGGACTCTGGCTGTGTCAACTTGACAGAAAACCCAGCCAGCACAAGGCACAGCAGTGCCTGTTGTTTGGCACTCCCAACATATGGGACACACTCAGATGTTTGCTAATGAACAAAATGCTTCCTTACACATGTCAATGCCCATTTATCTCTTCCCACTGGTTTTGAAATCATACCTTTTGGTCTCAAGCCTTGTTGGCAGTAATTCCCATGCCCCTTGTCTCACTTTGACGCTTTGTTCAGATTCACACAAACTTTCGGATTCTTCTGTGTATTAATATGAGGCCAAAGGCACAATGGCTTTCCAGAAGGACAATTATCTAAGGTGTAGGTGACTGGATGTAGGTCTGGTGTGTGTAAAGGACCTAAACCCCATAGGCCTTGGTCAGAGTGTTGGCTTGTGCACCTGTGTGCCAATGGACCATACTGTGTTCAGTTTACAGGAGAATGCCATAGGGGATGAAGGAGCTTCTGCAGTGGCCAGGGCCCTGAAGGTGAACACAACCCTCACTGCTCTCTAGTAAGTCCCCAGTAGATCACCCATTCACTACCCTCTCATGGCACAGCTGCCTTTCTTTGTCAGTCTAGGAAAGTTGTTTGGTTTTTCTAATATTAGTGATGGGTAATCAAACATCTAGGAAGGACTGAAGGTAGAGACAGCATTCACCCCAGCCCTTCTGGAAGACCACCTTTACTTCCCATCCTCTGTCTAGATCTTGTCCTTAGGTGTTAAAGTATAGATAGGAGATGCAGTGTTCTTGGAAGAATCATAAGAAACCACTCCTAGCGCCGGGTGCTGGTTGCACACACCTTTAATCCCAGCACTCTGGAGGCAGAGGCAGGCGGACCTCAGTGAGTTGGAGACCAGCTTGGTCTACAAAGCAAGTTCCAGGATAGCCAGGACTGTTACACAGAGAAACCCTGTCTCAAAACAAAACAAAACAAAACAAACAAACAAAAAAAAACAACAAAAAAGAAAAATAAATCAATCCTTAGTGCTATTTCTTAACTTCTAGCCCTAGCTAAGGGGTGTAGAATATGATGGGGAGCCTAGCCCAGGGCAGGGAGGAGCCAGGAGCACAGGGGTCCAATTACCCATGTTGATTGCACTCCCGCTCATAGCCTACAGGTGGCCTCCATTGGCACCCAAGGGGCCCAGGCACTTGGGGAGGCACTGGCTGTGAACAGAACCTTGGAGATTCTCGAGTGAGTATACCAGTGTCTGTTGAAAGACTTTTGCTCGAAGAAATCAAGCTACAGATTCAAAACAAATAACCATGAAGACAAATATCCATTTACATAGACACAGATAATTTTCATGACTGTTTTTCGTTATATGTTCCATCTTCCCTGTCCCCACTTTATGTCCTTCCCTGAAGTCACTATGGCACTATGTTCTGGATTGGGCCTGCTCCAGACAAACACAACCAAAGGATCTATTTAATAGACTCCCTTCCCTCCTCCCACATCATAGAAACCAGTAGCCATCTCCTGGAGTGGGGTTGGGGTTAGGGTTCAAGCTCTATGAGGCTCTCAGCATGCCCCTGCCATTCCTCCTCCCCAGAACCCCTGGATGGAGAGATTCCCCTCCCATCTCAGCCTAGGTTTTCCTTCTCTGGAGTAGAAAAAAAGAATAGGCTTCCTTCCCTAAGTGCTTAGGACTTCTGTGATTGAAATGTCGCACAACCCCACACCCATCTGGGGAGACATCAGTGTCATCACTCAGCCTATCCCTGTACCTAAGGCTTCTTGCTTGCCCTGACAGCTTACGAGGAAATGACATCGGGGTAGCTGGTGCCAAGGCCTTGGCAAATGCTCTGAAGTTAAACTCCAGTCTCCGAAGACTCAAGTAAGTGATTGTGTGAGTCATGTGCAACACAGTGCAATTCTGCCAGCACTTTTGGGATAGAACAGTTTCCTCTAGTTGCTTCCTTCTGGTTGTTAAACATCCATAATGTCCTGCCCATTACTGTCCACATTCAATGAAGTTAGCGTTATTCATTCTCCTTAAAGTTCTTTACTTAAAAATCGAATTTATGGTCTTGAGTAGAGTACCTGGCTACAGTTGCTATGGTGCCTGTGGACAATCAGCCCAGAACTACTTACTTTATCCACATCGCAACAAGGCAGTTGCCTCCTTAAGTGTCTTCTGCCCTGATGGCTCATCATGGTGCCTCCATCTCTTCTCTGCCCAGTCTCCAAGAGAACTCACTGGGGATGGACGCGGCCATATATGTCGCTGCTGCGCTGTCTGAGAACCACGGTCTGCATCATATTAAGTGAGTACACACAGTGGCTACTGCTGAGTCTCAGAACTGCTCCCAGATCAGGTTCTGCCTTTAGCCCTATTCTGGGAGCCAGGTGACATGAAGTTTCCATAGGGAAACTAGGTCTAAGAAGGAACATGACAAAATGGGCCCCAGAAGGGCAAAGGCTCAAGGGGGTCCTAAATTTATTATAGCAATAATACCTGTAAAGACAACTTGCAGGTGCTAAGTTCTGCCCTAATTCTTCTATTCTAGTCTCCAGGGAAATCCCATTGGTGAATCTGGTGCCAGGATGATCTCAGATGCTATCAAAACAAATGCTCCCACATGCACTGTGGAAATGTAAGGAAAGCAAGTTCCTGGTGGACCACGCAGAGACTCAACTGGAAGCTTTTCATCAGTGACCTACCTCTGTTTCTGCATATCTTCCTGGAACCTGAATGCTGCTGAGCCAGCTCTCAAGCTGGTTTCCTGGACAGAGGCCACACATGTCTTTCATGTGTCAGTCAGAGGGAAGATGGATACTCTGTGACAGCACACAGAAGAGAAGGAGCTGCTGCCAAGGGGCACTCAGGGACAAAATCTCAAAGCTCCACAAAGTAGGAAGCTGGTTCTGGCTTATTCATACCCTGGGGTCTTCATAGCCCCAAGTTACAAAACAGCAACAACAAAACCAAATGTGTTTCTGCTCTTGTGCACTCACATGGCTAACATCTTCAGTCTTTTGAATCCAGGTGCAGTCTTCAAGCTCAGTAAGCACCTCAGCTTGGCAAAGGTGATAATGGGCTCAATTTTTCTTTTCTCAAGAGAAGAAAAAAGGTTTGGGCTGTGACCCTTAGATACATATGGAGAAAATATGAGAAATTTGTGAAGATAAATGAAAGGTTAATTCTAAGTTTCTGGAGTTTAAGTCTCCAAAGGCTCTGCGTTCTGTAAGATCTCTCAGACATGTAGAATGGTCTGCCATATTTGGAGTCCAGCACACTGGTTATCCATTGCAAATTAAGTGTTGATACTTTGATGCCATTATCCTATTTAGGCATCTAAAACCTCTACAGTGGCAATGACTTTCCCTTGGAGACAAATAAGCTATGCTTCCATGTGGCAAATTCCCTCCATTGTCTGATTGAAATAGGAAAACCTAAATGACCTTCATAGATCTCAACTAAGCCACTAAGATAAGTGCTTATAAAGGCCACAAAGTGAGTCCAGTTGGGTGGTGCACACAAATGTGTGGAGGCACACACTTGTAATTCTAGTACTTGAGAGGCTGAGAAAGAAGGATCATGACTTTGAGGCTAGCTTAAACTACATTGAGAGGTTCTCAAAACCAAAACAAAAATATAAAAATAAACATTCAGATGAATTATCATGGAGGCTAATAAGGAGCGGTGTTAACCCGATTATGTAAGAAAAGAAGTATCTTAGCAAGTAAGGTGACAAATGCTGTTGTAACAAAGGGATTAAACTTAAGCCAGACACAGTGTTATGTACCTGTAATTCCAGCACTTGGAGGAAGCAGGAGGATTAGGAGTTCAAGGTTGTCTTTGGATACATGGTGAGTTCAAGATCAGTTTCTGCTGCATGAGATCCTGTCTCAAGAAAAACAGAAGAAAATAACCTGACAGCCATGGGGCAAATGAATATCATGCATGACTGTAGACACGGCACTGACAGAGCATTTCTGCCACAAGTGCTTACCCAAGCCTAATTGCAGAGGTGTGGCAACTCCAAATGGAAGGACTTTTTACAAAGCTGGCTTGACTGCTGAAAAATATTACAACAGTCTGGAGATGGTTTTAAACTAAACAAATGAAAAGGACCTAACAGTCCTTGATGGGCACTTAGGCTGGAGGAAAAATATAATCTTCAAAGAATGGTACTTGGAAATTGAAGCTGTATCAATTTGGTTTTGAAGGGTACTGTTTGTGGGTATAGAATGCTACTCTCTTTCTTTTGGTACTTTTATGATGTTGCTCTCTGACTGGGGCTACATCCAGCTCAGTGGAGTAGGTCCTGGGTTCTATCCCCTGCACTGCCAACAGCAACTTTGCTATAGGTTTCTGGCTTACATTGTTTCTAGCAGAAGCTCAGCAGACAGAAAGACATCAGTCAGTCAGTAGACAAATGCTTGGATAGTCTAGTATGGAAGTCTGAGGCCCAAACACTGTGAGGACAGAGGACACTCTCCAAGGATGCTGAGAGCAAGTCCCACCATGCCTAGAAGGTCCCCTTCCAGAAGTTCTGTCCAGACCCCACTGGCGAGGCTTCACAGCACTCTGGGAGCAAGGAGAAAGGTTTACTGGGTCTAGCTGCATCACCACAAAGCAAGCCAGAATGTGAGTGTGGAACTGAGACAGGCCGATACCCACAACAGTGGTTTGGTTCTCTTCCTAGTGTTTTTATGTTTGTTGTTTTGTCTGGACAGTCTCTGTTGCTGTCTTGTGCATCCTTCCCTGCAGCACACCCTCTGCTGTTAAGTGCACCTTGCTACTCTTCATCTCAGACTGTTTCTATCTGTTTAGGATGGCACTTCAGTCTCAGTTTCTCCAGCTTTGCCACTTCCATCTGTTTTCCACAGCACTGAGAAACTGCTGTCATTCACTCTGCCCTCTTCTCTGATTCTTGGTGTCTGTGGATTTACTGATATGAGAATTTCTTCTTCTTACTTCTCCTCTCCCCTTTTCTTCATTCTTCCCTCTTTGCCTCCCTTCCTTACTCAGGTTTTACTGGAATTTTAGGAGCATATAGAGAGAAATGAACACATTCTGTTCATAGGTTTATCTGAGGCCCCCCAAGTCTGTTTATTTATAAGCCATTATTGTACATCATTATGCAGACGTTAGGTGTGTACATTCCCAAAATGCCTCCACTGCCTGCTACTCACACCCCTGATTTGCATCACCTCTAGGAACTTTTCTTCAGACACTTGAATCTAGTTCAAGGTCATTGCCTGAGCTCTTCCTATAACACTAAGCCTGGGCTGGCCCCTCAGATTTCTATGTAGACCAAGCTAGTCTTGAGCTCACAGAGATCGACCTGTCACTGTCTTCAGAGTGCTAGGATTAAAGATGTGCAGTACCATGCTCAGCTCAGAGTGATTTCTCTCTCTCCTCTCTCTCTCTCTCTCTCTCTCTCTCTCTCTCCTTCCATCCTTTCTTTCTTATTCTTTTTTTGTTTTTGTTTTTTGAGACGGGGTTTCTCTGTGGCTTTGGAACCTGTCCTGGAACTAGCTCTTATAGGTCTTGTAGACCAGACTGGCCTTGAACTCAGAGATCTGCCTGTCTCTGCCTCTTGAGTACTGGGATTAAAGACATGCACCACCAATGTGCAGCTTTTGATTTATTTTTTTAAACTTTATTTCTGGTGGTTGCTATTTACTCATGGAGCAAAACTTAAGTAATTCCTTAGCAAAACATATGAAGTTCACTTTGCTATTCTCTTACTACTCTCCAAGCATTTCGGCCTTCTGTGTCTACATTTCATGAACAGACCATGTCTTCTGTTACCGCTATGCTTCTGTAGTTCTGTCCTACCCGATCTTTTAAAAAAGATTTACTTTTAACTCTGTGTGTGTGTTTGTGTGTAAGTCCCTGTCTCAAAAATGAGACAAAGTAAATACCAATCAGGCTGAGGATATAGTTCAGTTGATAGAATGCTTGCCATGCAAGCATGAGGTTCTGAGTCCAAACCCTCACAAAAATTCCAGGTGCCATGGTGTGTTCTCAGAATTCTGGCCCTGGGAAGGCAGAAATAACATAGATACCTAGAGCTGACTGCCTAGTCAGTCTAGGCTAATTGGTGAGGTTCCAGGTCCCAAACAGACCCACCCCTACTCCCCAAAAGGTGGTCAGTTCCTGAGAACAATCACAGAGGTCTTCTGGCTTTCACACTGACATGCACACATACCAGCATAAACATTTATACCTGCTCACATATGAACATGTGCACATGTAACACTCATGTACACACACACTCACATGGATGCCTGCTAGCAGGAGTAGATAGCAGTAGGAGTTGGAGCTGATTTGCTGAGATATCCCAGCTAGTAGTTCCCAAACAGTTCAGACTGGGGACTGTGAAGAGACTGCCTCCCAGAAGAATACCAGCCCTCTGAGAGGAACAAAACTTAATCTGGAGCCTCTCCGTGGCCTGAACATCACAGAAAATTAATTTAATAACAACAGCAGCCAAGACTTACAAGGTGTCGGTTTATATTTCTCTTTTCTTATGGATTTGAATTATGTAGAACACATGAATTTCCCAAATGGTAGGAAATAAGACAAAAGAAAATCTCGTTTGGGGTTTGTTTCAGTAATGGTTAAGCCCAGATGGTGTAGTGAAGAAAATACATATTACCTTTCCAGCCTGCTGATTCCCTGTTTACCTAGAAATCTGAGGCTCTTAATCTGCCTGTGTCCCTTGGCAAGAAGGTCAGAAGTCATTGTCACTTTCATCCAGAGGCTCAGGTTTACGGCCCCTTCGACTGGGCTTAGCTGGGGAGAGAGCAATGCTCTCATCTTCCAGATCGTCATCATCCTCTTCATCATCTTCCATGTCAATCTCACTGTCCTCTGAGTCTTCCTGAAGCAAAAGGGTGGCAAATGCAACTGAGGTGCTAGCTCACTATAATATCTTGTACTTAGAGACCCCACTTTACTCTCTCAAGGACAGTGCAATAACCAGCAATACCCCTACAGTGGAAGGTTGTGGGGCCACAGCATGCTGCCAGCTGAACAACTCCTCTAGATTGAGGACATAACTAGTAACTCAAACACCAGCCTTTACTGGGGTTGTTGAGAGGAGTTGGCTTTCCATGGATGTCTTGGGAATACCCTTAACACATGCTGAGAGACCTAGATGCTGAATGGCTCCTGCAGTCTAGAGACCCAGCAGACAGAAAGACAGCAAGAAGGGCAGGAAAGGGAGGCCTATTCCAGATGGAGATAGAAAGTGGCACAAATGTGGGTAAGAAGGCAAGGTGAAGGGAGCCCCAGCTCCGTCATGGTCTGGATCCAGGAAGCACCAACTCGAGTTGTCTTTTTTTTTTTTTTTTTTTTTTTTTTTTTTAATAGCAAGTCCTATGTTCCGTGTACATCAGATGGCTAGCCACCCAGTCTAGATTATTATTTCCAAGTAGTACATACATGTTCGAATTCTCTTCTTACTACCACCTTCTCCAGCTACCCTGCTCTGTCTGCTTCCTTCCCAGCAGAAATCCCTGTGAAAGCCAGGCCTATGGTAGTACAAGCCTACAATGCCAGCACACTAGAGGCTAGGACAGGTGGGTGATTATGAATGAGGCCAGCCTGAGCTCATATAAAGATCTTGTTTCACAATGAAAAAAATAAAGAATGAACTCCTTGGGCAAATTGCTTTATCAAGTGTCCCCCTCCCATTACGTAAGTACAACAGGCTCTATCCCATAACCCCAAACCACTCTTGTCAAGACTGAAAGGATTCCAATCCAGTGGATTGGATCCTCAGTCCTTGCCACATCTGTCACTGACACACCCTTCTTTCCTGAAGTCCACCTCCCCACCCTCCATGGCTAACATTCTAGTCTGCCCTCTGTCCCTAGCTCTCTGTATAGTGCACTCCAACTCCTTCACCCGATCCTCTTTAATTCTCTGGCCTCTGCAATACAGAGGTACTGCAGATCTCCTCTTTTCTTGCTCTCCAAATAGTGAAATCACATCTTTATCATGGCTTCCATCTAAATATGGACTGCTCCCAAGTTCTACTTCTGGCCCAGCCCTGTTTCTTAAATTCTAAATTTTTCCTGACTGCCTTCTCAAGTCACTTCTGTCTCAATCAGCTAAAACCCTAGGCTTTCAGTGAGTTCCACCATTGAAGCATTCTGCATTCCTCTTCTTTATCACCCTGGTGCAATCAACTAACAAAACAAGATGATCAAACCTCAGAATCACCCAGAATCTATCTGCTTCTCAATACCAACACCATTACGGCCTCAGGCTAAGACATCCTCACCTACAACTTACACACTTGCACTTGCCACCTCTGAATCTCACCCCCCCCACCCTACTCCCGACAATTCTCCAACATCTCCTATCTCACTGGGTCTACAATACACCCTGCACAGTTCTGTCCCAGCTGTCTCTCACCACTTGCATCCAAGTTCCCGCCATCCTGCCACTGCCTCACTGTAGGTGTCCACACTCCCTAGGCCCAGGGGTTCTGCCCACCCCAACATGGCTCACCCTTTCCCTCATTCAGGTCTCTGCTTCAGTTTCTCACTAGAGAGGCCCAACATGAACATGTAAAAAGATCCCTTGTCTCTATCATTTCTTGTCTCCTAAATCTACTTTATTTATTCCCTAATACCTATGACTGTGGTACGTCTACTTGATTGTTACTAGAACATATATATTCCAAGGGCAAGGACTGATTTTTCACCTCCTGCTGCATTCCAGACCCAACACTGATAGGATCCAACAAATTCATGTTGAACAAGCACATAAAAAGCATAAAGTGCAAGTGTGACAGGAGCTGTGTGAACAGTCTCCATGAAATAAACAAGAGGGAAGACCCAAGCCACTGCAGATGCATTCATTCTTAAAGCATGTAAGCAAATAAAACAGAACAGACACCACTTCCCAGGAAGCACTGGTTGCTTTAGGCCAGATCCTCCCTGTTTCAGACTCAGGTGGACAGGAGTGGATGAGCGCTACCTTATCATAAGTACCCTCTCTGTTAAGAAGAAAGTTATTGTTGAGTGATTTCCCTGACTTTCCATTGAGTCCTCTAAAATTCAAGGTACAAGCTTCTCTGTTCCTGACCAGAAAGACAAGGGCCAGCTTGCTTTATGGATTTAAGCAACATTGCATTGAGGCACTTAGTAAGCCAAGCTTCAAACAAGAGCATATGGTCCTGTTTAGTCCCTGTGCAAGCAGGCACCAGTGCCACACCCCAGATAGGCTTATACCTTACAAACTGACCTGGGATTGATGTCTCTCCAGCAACCTTTGTGAAATGGACCAAGTAGCACTGGCAGGGAATACAACAGCAGGAAGGCTCAGAGGGTCCGGCAGTGTATGTTCAGCCTGCCACTTTGAAACCCAGATTTCCCTTTCTGGTTAAGTTCTCTAGTTAGTTATCTACCTGGTGGAGTTCAAGGTACTAGCTGCCAGACCTCAATCTCCTGTTGGGCCTCTCTAAGGCCCTGGTCTAGGAGGACATCTTTTTTATATTCCTGCTCCAGAATCATAGGATGGTGCTGAAGAAAGGCTGGTGCTGGACCATGGCCCTTGGCATCAGCACTTCATCTCTGTTATAATTCAGGGCCTGATGACTGTCTTGGTGCTTGACCCTCCTGAGTTTGGTGGTGCAAGAGACCACTCTGCCTTTCTCTCCATGGCATCTATTCTGAGGATTTCTTGCCTCAGAGAGGAAGCATCACCCTGGAGGAGAGAGGCTCTGCTGGCCCTGAGCAGGCTGACACACACCAACAAACAGATGAGGCAAGAAAAGAAAACCAACCTGCTTCCTGGAGCTGGGAGTCTTGCATTTACCTAAGAGGACTGGTGCTGCTTCCATCTTTGGAAAGCGAGAATGGAAAGAACAGTGAGAAGGCAAAGGAAAAACAAAACAAAACAAACAAACAAACAAACAAAACAAAACAAAACAAAAAAAACCAAAAAGGGCAAGCATATTTGTGTGAAATGAGAAACAAGCTATTGATAAACTCCGTCACATTCAAGCAATGTGCTGGGAACAGGTAGTCCCTGACTTCTGGCAGCACCTGAGCTAATCTAGAAGGACAGCCCCAAGACCAGGAGGCACAGGAGTGGAGAGAGGGTACTAGGACTCACATCTTCATCAGAGTCTCCACCTTGCATTGTGCCCACGATGCGTTTGCTTGGCCTTCCTGAGAACAACAAAAGCATGAAATTATAAATTGGAAAATATGGCAGGAAATGACATTTAAGACTTGCTTTCCCTTGAAAAACTAGAAAATACTAAAGTTCTTACTAAAAATGTACTTAAGCTCCAACTAAGTAGGATTATCAACAAATAATCATCCATTTCCTATATCCCCCATCCCTTCTATTTTGAGAATATAGCTGAGGCTGGCCTTGAACTCTTGATCCTTCCACAACTTCTAGAGTGCTGGCATTACAAGTTTGTGCTGCCATGCCCTGCTCTGCAATTCTTCTTTGAAAGATGAAAAAAGGGCAATAAAATTCAGCATGTGATAGGGTACATCTGTAATCTCAGCACTCAGGAGACTGAGGCAGGAGGATTGCTGGGAGCTCAAAGCTAGCTTGAGGTACATAGTGAGCTGTACTAAGTCTCAGTAACAACAATAAAAAACTAACAACAACAACAACAACAACAAACCCAATAAAGTTAACATGGACTGGCAAGATGGTTCAGTAGGTAAAGGTACTTGCCACTAAGCCTATTGACCTGAGTTCCATCTCCAGAATTTACATGGTAGAAGGAAAAAACTGAGTTCCAAAAGTTTTCTTTGGATGTGTGCCCATGTGTGCACACATAAATGAATGTAATGAAAATTTACATACAAAAAATTATACATGAAGGCTGGGGGTATGGGTAAGTTGTAGAA